TAAAATAGTAAAAAAAAAGTAAATAAGTAAATAAATAAAGGCTGAAGGTCAAAAAAAGTATATTCATTATGTTCTCTCTATAATTTGATGCTGCTACTCCATAGGGGACACATTAAAATATCACAATTATAATATTGTGTTTTCCTTTAATCTTGTAAACTGCTCAAGTGATCAACTCCCCCAAATGCCAGTCAGAAGTGCCTTTCACATACCGAATGAGCCTACACTCGGACTGAAGCCAGATGAGAGGTCATTTGGTCTTTCAAACAAGCTAACCTACAAAAAAAAAAAAAAGGCACAACATCTTGATAACTTCAGGCCAAGCAAAGAACATAAACACAGATGCAGTTGCTATGTCTTCCACTTGAAAAGTTGCCTTCTGCACCTTCTGAAATGCAGACTCTCACACTCCTCTGTTCACTTCAGTTTATTAAATTTCAGTATTCTAAACGGTACACTGTTTGCATATGAATGTTACCAAAAATCACATTATACGCAGCTAAGATGTGAAGCTCACGAAGTATATAACAAGCACTAGAGTACACACAAGTACTAGAACAAAACAGCAGCAAGCAAACTGCTGGCACAGAGGAAACCTCTTCAGTTGCAGCGAACTCCCATGGCTACCTACCGTATTTGCAAAAACATACTGTCAAGTATACTCAAAGTCCTACCTACAGTCCTTACACAGGAAAACTTCTCACTCTTTCTACAGCAGCTCTGCATTTAAGACCATTAAGTTTGGAGACAACATGAGGCACTGTATTAACTGAACAACACAGAACAGCGAGACAGTCACCCATGTTCTATTCATTGCTGTGACTGCAATTCTGTGACTGCCAGAAGGAAGAGACAGCAAACAGAACAGCTAAAAGGACGGTTTCGAGAGAGAAGTCACAGCTCACGTCTAATCCACACCTTCACCAACAGATGTGGTTCTGCACGTCTCCAAAAATGCAGTTCCACTACTGCGCTTTCACTGTCCTTTCACTGTTCAATAGCCAGCAATAACAACCATCAAACCAATTTGATTTGTGCATGAAATTGTGGCCTACAAATACCCAAAATCCAGCATTTGTTCTCAGTTTATGTTACAACACGAAAAACACTATACCTTGCATACACAAATAGAAATACATTAGAAAGCAAAATGGACATGCAACGTGAACCACCAACTTCCTTCAGGAGTTACAAAACTGCACTGGAATACTCCTTATCACCACCGATCTGCAGTTTTAAGTTTTCATCCTGCCTAAGTTAGCTCTACTTCTTTTCAGCCTATGCCGATCCACTAGCCTATCCACATAGGTACTCAGTTCCTAACTCACACACCGTAGTTAATGAGTTACTCGTATGTGCCGCTTTTATGCGCATATTTTATTTCCAAAAAGTATGCATCCTTTCACAATCCAATGTAAAGGGGCAGCATCGAGCATCTGGAAGAGTAACAATAATCACCCACACCAACCACGTCCCAGGAGCTTCCAGGGAGGCAAGGCACCTCAACATTTTCAGAGATTGAAACTGCTACTCTTTGTTAAGAAAACACTGTCTTTTCAGCACCAAGTTAAGGTCAAGTTCCTCCAGGTGCTTCAGGAATCACAGGAAGAGGGGACACCACAGCTCACCAGCCACCCAAGCTGCACGGACAGGGGTTGAAGGAAGGAAAGGGAAAAGAAGCAAAGACACTACAGCCTAATTGCTGCCCCCTTCCCCCACCATACCTTCTCAAGGGATGGGAGCAACGCCTCGTCCCCCATCTCCGCATTCCAGTCCTCTTCAATCATGCTGTGCCCTGCCAGACCTGCTTGCAGGAGACAGAACACATCAGCAGCTGCCTCCTGCTCAGCTCCGGAAAGTCTAACAAGGAGAGAAAATGGCACCCTGCACCGAGGCTCGCCGACCCTGCCTGCGGGCGGGAGTGAGTACGGCCCAGCCCGGCCTCTGCGCTGGTGGGGATGGGAAGGAAGGAAGGAAGAGGGGGTCCTGCCGCGGAAAAGCCTCCCACTTCTATAAGAGCGACGCCCAGCCCCTTACCTCGGCCACAGGCGCTCCACAAGTAAATAAGATGGCGCCTGGCACCGATACTCTCTTAAGGACACCGCGCACGTGCAGCCGGATGGTCACGTGACCCCCGGCCAGCCAATGGGCGTGCGGCTCGGCGTCAGAGCGCGCGGGCGTGCCGGCGGCCCCTGTGGGCTCCCTCAGCGTTCCCGAATTCCCTTATGTAGAGCTGTTTTAGCGAGATCTGCTTGTCAAACGTCTGCTAAAAGTGAAATCCACAGTCTGGCGGAACCCCAAATAAGATATTAATCATTTTACTGTTTACAAACACGTTTTTTAAGCGTTAGCATGATAACTAACAGCAGATACACCTTTGCTGAAATTTTGTTTTAAAATACATTAAATAAGGTTAAACAGGTTATATATTTAGAAAAACAAAACAAAATAAAATAAAACCCCAAACTTAAGCACAACACCCCTTTCCCACCATTTTTTTTAATACCAGACTTGCTAGAGAAAAGAAAGAGAGCAAAATTCCTGGCTTAGGAGGTGTTGCTGGAGTGCAGGAAAACATCTATAGGACTCGTATCAGTTCAATACATCTATTAAAATGGTGGCAAGTACTCTGACACTTCTGCTTCTGTTTCCAAGCTGCTAGTGCAGTGTGTGTATCTCTCTTCATGCCGTGGAATAATCCAGCAATGCTTGTTCAGAAAAACATACAGGAAGTATATATCATAAACCTGATAATACTCATTAATCTGCTCCACCATGTGAAACAGTTTCCTCATCAGAAAATCTATTTGAAAAACTTGTTTGAGAACTTCTGTCTTCTGTTGCAGAGAAGTCACAGCAGATGTGGAATTCTGAACGTCTAGTAGGGGCTTTGGGCACCAAGTCAAATTCCTGCAGCAGCTGAAGAATTTTGGAAAGTGGTCTCTGAACTAATGCTTTGGTTATTTTCCCCTTAACCATTGTCAGTTAAGCCCTGTCCTTTCTAGCTGCTCATTTTTCAGGAGCATCAAGACAGGATAAGGCAGTTAAGAAACTTAAACAGCTTCTCTGTCTCACAATGAGGTTAAAACTGCACCAACAGGTGATATATATTATGCTGTGCCTTGTGCAAGTAGCAAAGATGGCTGCTGGCAGTTATTAGCTTTCAATAAGTATTCAGCAAAACACACAATGCCCAAGGATGAAGAACTTGCAGTGGGAGCATCTCTATGGAAAGTGTATAAAACTATTCATAAATTCCTGAAGCAGCACCTGAAACTAGTAGGCTCATGAGTTAAATTAACCTGAGGATTGTAGCAGGTGACCAAGAATGCAATTAAATACAGAAATGCAATGAAATCCTTTATCTGCCATAGTAATAACTATGGACATCTTTCACAGCACAGGACACAGAAGACAGGCTTGTAAGAGTAAGACTAGATGCTTGCATGCTGAAAAAAACAGTTCTTTACACAACTGTGCTTTTGTGGCTTTCAGTTTAATTCACTTTCATAGCACCAACACAAGGTTGCATTTCAAATTCCTGTGATAGCAGTTAGATGGACTTCTTGACTTATCAACTAAAATCTTCTAATGGCCAAGAACCACAACATACGCTTGGATCCTAAGAGTGGCTCAGAGGCAAAAGTTGATGATGAATTTGCTGGGATACACAGAAACAAGAGTTTTGATCCAACCAACCTTCTGTTCAGCTGCATTTCAGGATGTTAAGTCTCTGCTGCCTTGTTTCCATCCACAGTCTGAAATTCAATTACACAGCAGTTTCCTTGCAGAATAGTTGGGCAGTCCTGCTGCTAGCCCACACAATCTGGCTTGGGCTCCACTTGAACAGGAAGTACAGGGTGGGATTTATGTAGCTTGTTTTGTACTGTTCTCACATGGGGAAGCTATCTCTGCTGTATTCCTTGCAATTCAGCAGTTTTTCCAAGCATGAGCTGTAAATATCCCTGGAGTTTGATGTTAACCAGTGTTTCAACTATGAAAAGGATGGTCCCAACTTGATTTAAGTAGTATCAAATTTAAATTAAAAAAAACAAAAACAAAAAACCCAAACCAAACAAACGAACAAACCAAAAAAACCCCACCAAACCAACAAACCAAAACTAAACAAAAATACCCCAAAAAACCAAACCAAACCAAAAAAAATTAAAAGAAAAAAAAATCCAGACAAACCCCAAAACCCATAAAACAAACAAGCAAACAAACAAAAAAAATCAACCTAGGATTAAAAGTAGTTAATATTTTAAATGTATTGTATGGCAGATTGTCTGTGTGGTTTAGTCTGCTCGGTGTCCTTTGCTCAGCAAGTGTTTCATACCTCTCTCAGCAGGTCAGAAGGCCCACTTTACATCGTTCCTCACAGAAGGCGCGTAGCCAGTCACGTGAAGACCAGCATGGTTTGTTTTGGGCAAGGGTTATGCAAACATTTTGTCACCACGCTGGGCTTCAAAAGTATGGAAGCAAACGGGTAAGCTTCCTTTTTTTTGTTGGTTTGTTTGGCGTTTTTTGTTTTGTTTTGTTTTTTACTAGCGGCCACTCATCAGCCACGACCAGCAAGTGCGAACATTTTCCTCTCAACGCTCAGTTCATGCTTACCCGTACCACGACCTCACAGGGGAGCCTAGGCTGACACACACTGCCGGCCCGCTCCCGCCCCGCGGGTCTCTGGGAGTCGTAGTCCTTGCGCTACGCAGCGGCCGGGCAGCTTCCTCGTCGGAGCCACCGCGGGAACTACGCGGCCCGGCACGCCCAGGGCCGCCCGCCCCATTTCGCGTTACTTCCTGTCGCCGCCGCGGGGCCGCCGGAGCGGAGCAGGTACAGGAGCCGGGGCAGCGGCGAAGGCAAGGCAGGGCAGGTCGGCTCGGCGGGAGCCGCCGTGGGGGTCTCAGGGCGTGGAGCGGCTCCAGAGCACGGTGCGGCGGTGCCGCCGCCTCCCCCGCGCCCCCGCCGGGCTCAGCCCCGGGCGCCCTACGGGGCGGAGGGGCCGGGCGGGAGCCGCTCTGGCGGCGGGAACTGACCGGCCACGCCGTGTCTGGTTAGCGGGAACCTGGGCAGATCGTCAGAGCAGTGTCGGAGGTACAGGAACGGCATGGAAGCTTCTCGGGCGGTCCGTGGAGCAGCGAAATGCTTGCATCAGTTTTCACGGGCCTGAGGGAGGTCCCCTTAAGCTGAAAGCAAAAATGGTGTTTAAAATGTAAGTTAGCTCCTAAGGTGATAGTTTTATGTTCTTGTAAGTATTTATTTATAGTCCCCACAAATATAAATGTATGCACATACACAAATAATACAAGCTTTACCTGTTGAAGACAAAACAAGTTCCATTTCTTCTTAATTTTACTTAAATTTGTCATTTGGCAGTGACTATGTAGTCCTTGGTTGAGAGTTACACAAAAGCTCAGCAGTAGTTCAGCTTGTACATTCAAGAGTCTTTTTTCCTCAAAAAGTTGTTAACTTCCATTGCTTATACAGTTTTATTCACTTTTGACCAATACAGTTGCAGGAGAGCGTGAACAAACTAAGGCGTCCATAAGGTGCCATGAGAGATGGTGTACTGTCCCCGTTTTAAGGAGCTCTTAACGTATGCTGCTACTTTCAGGACCAGTATAGAATGCTTCAGTGCCTTCTGATGGAGGATTCACTGCCCAAAAGAGGAACTGAGGAACTCTGCTGTCTTGTGCTCAAGTTCTTGTCTTTCAGTGTAGACTTATTTCTCATACTTTAGTGCTTATTTCTCATACTTTGTGTGCTCAGCCTGCAGCTTGCTTGAGATTTGTGCCTTGAGCTTTATTCATTCACTCACCTGCTCAGAATCTATGAGAAGACCAGGTTGCACTAATTAGCACTTCTAACAATAATCTTCCTTATTTAAATGAAATACTTTGATTAGCCGATTCTGGTATTTAGAGTATGAGGTGAGTTTTTAGGAGCAGTGATTTTAAATAAGATTTGAAGCTTAATAGCTCTCAGTGCTCCAGCTGCTGTTTTTCTAGCACCATGATGGCATGATAGAGGCTGTGGGGGTAGTGATCCTCTCTGCCTTCCTTCTCCTGCCCACTATGGGAGATTCTCTGGTAAATACCAGTCCTACAAACCAGCTAAGCACAGTCTGTGTTCACAGGATGGCTAGGATGACTGACTAACTGAACACAGTTTGTTCCTGCTGTGGAGTAAACATAATTGGTAACCCTCTTGCATGGCCTGGCCTGTAACTCTGAATGATCTGTCAAGATGGGTGTCTCATCTTAAAGCATCAGCACACACGTCAGTAGCTGAGCCATAAACTGGAATTGTTAAATTCACTGTCTAAGCAAACTAATAGGGTTTTGCCATCCAGTACAAAGATGATTAGAACAGCCAATATTCTGTGGCTACAATGAGGGCTTGTCTTTGCCCCTTAATGCTTTTTAGATTTTGAACCAGGAGAGAGAACCTGAAGGCACTCATAATGGCAAATGAGTGAGAATTAATGAAGGTCTAGTCCTGTTGTGATTACCATCTGAAAGCCATATGGAGTCTTTCCTGGAATGAGACTGGGGAATAATAACTTGCATACCCTTAGGTATTGTTTCACAGTTTACGACCAACAACAGAAAAACTGTATTAGTAAATTCTGATCCACTTGTTCCCTTTTGCTGCCCTTCTGATGTAGTGCTTCAGATGTTTCTAGGACAATTATGATAGGGCAGCAGGTCATACTAAGCTTCACCACTGGTAACCAGTGAAATTATATCCTGAAAAGGGACAACAGGATTCCAAGTATATGCAGACCTTTGCACATTGGAGGATACCTTGACATTAATGGTGTTTGAAGATGTAATTGATTAGATAGCAATGATAGTGAGGACTGTGTTGATAGCATATGATTGGAAAAATTGATTGCTGTTGTAAGCCCTTACACAGAAGAGGATCCCAAACATATTGTGATGTGCTAGCAGTTTAGACGGATTTTTTTATATCCGGAAAAGTATTTCAAATAGGAAGAAGGACAGCTGAGCATGCTTTAAGGCAGAGTACAGCAGTTCTTAAAAGATGCTAGTGTCAATGTTGCTCCACGTTTGTGAGGGGTTTGATACTACAAAGGTATGTCAAAGATGTATTTTTAATAGCTGTTGTGGAAGAGCTACATTTTTATCTTAATAACTGTCCTAAGCACAGCTTAGGGAGGTGTTTCAACAGCACTTAACATTGACTTTCGTGGGGGTAGCAAAGTCAGAGTATTTCCTTCTGGAGTCAAATGCTTGGAGAACTAAGTTACATGATAGGAGTTTCACAAGCAAAATCAAACACTTTCCTTGCCAAAGCTGGATTGGAAAGGAAAAGAACTATGGGTGCAGAGAAATATTCTTAGAGCCTCTTTTTCCTCTGCAGCAATACAGCAGTGCTACAGGGGAGAACATAAAATTTCTTCCTTTGTTCCTGCCTTATCAGTAAGATTATAGTTGCAGTTAATTAGTAGAAGGTAGTTAGCACTCACTTTGATCTTCACTTCAGTGTGAGACTGATCTGCCTTACTTGCTGCTCAACAAATCATAACTGTTCTTGGATGATATTTGCAGTGTTTACTATGCATCACTAAGTTTTGTGTAAAAGTTAATTTCTCAGCATGCCCATGAGCTATAGGAAGTACTGGCATTATCCTTATTCTAAGGATAGGTATTAAAACACAGGAAAAAATCCACAAATTTTGAAAGCTCAGTTTGAGAACAACTTGGTTTATATAACATATAAATATATAATATATTTAACATAATATATTTAAATATATTTATATTTAACATCATTCAGTAGTGCATGACACATACACTCCTTTGTTGTCCAGTGTTACATGAAGCAGACTCTAAGCAGCAGGGTAAGAAAAGGGGTAACATAATGTAAAAGATGCGTGATCCCCCAGGCTGTGGCTTCTATTAGTGTTGCCTTCTTCTGCAGACCATACTCATGTCTTTTCAACTGCACAGTGAAACTGCTGGTTCTATGAAACTATAACCTAGACAACCCCAAGCCAGCACCAAAACAATTGTATCCCTCTTTAGATTTATTTTTTTAGGTAGATCTATTCCACAGTCCTACTTATTCCACCAAGACAGAAAAGAAGACAAATAGCTGTGCCACCAGAGACAGTGGGAGGAAAGACAGCATGAGCAGCAGGGAACAGCATTGCTTTTAACTCATAGCACTGCTGAAGACAAAGTACCATGAGTTTATGTCTCCAACTGCAGCTACACTACAGCTAAGAGGAACCTCTTTTCCACTTGCGGGAAAATCCAGTTTGACAACAAATGAGTCAAGTATCCTTACAACATCCTTCTCCATTTCTAAACAGCCATACTTTAATTCCCAGAGATCCACAGTAATAGTCTGCATTCAAGAGTGGCCTCATAGAAGCTGTTACCGTGGTGTATTATAAAATATACAAACAGAATGAGGTTTGTCAAGCAACTTTGATTTTTGACCTGAATTCCTTGTGTTTGGCATTCCAGTCCTTATTATAGGCTTTATAGATCATATAGAGAGTATTCTGTGTCCCATCACAGTTTTTAAAAGAAACCTCCTGAGTGAGGTGAACATAGATCAGATACCCCCTGTGAGAAAAATCTTTAGATAACTACGGCATTAGGAAAATTACAGTTGGGAAGAGGCTGTTCTAATGGAAACTGTCAGGCAGTAAGTTGAGAGAGCATAACCAGCTCCATTCCATGTATTAAAAATGTTTATTGAGAGTGCAGTCCAGTCAAAAAGCGTAGATTGTAGATAAAAGAGAGGCTAATCAGGTTCATTGTTCTTCATTTTGCTCTTCTGCTTAAAATTGTCCTTTAAACTGTCCTGACTTCAGCTGCAGTCTTTACATGTGTCATAGCTGCCTCTGTTTGTAGAGTAACCAGATATTGGTGGTCATAAGCTTCATTGTTATCAACAATAAGCACTTAAAAAATAAACTGTCTTCACAGATCCAGCTTTTAAGTGACCCTGAAGAGTCAATAAACAGCTCTGCAAGCCCCAAATCGTGCTGGCAAGCCAAACTTAGTGTGTGATATGTTTTGGAAGGATTATTTTTCTTCATGGAATACTATAAAATCTCCTGGGTTCTTAATTTATAGCCACAGTGCAGAGAAAATCAAACTGGTAATCAATGTTGTCAGCATCCGTCAGATTGATTTATAATGCACAAGTAAATTATTGGTTTTAAGGAAGGGATATGCATTTGATGTCTGCTTAATCTGTGTCATAAATGGCCTGTGGAAGGAAGGGATCTCAGACCTGCAGTCTTACGAAAAATTCTGTCTGAAAACACTTCCAAATATTTGGGATTTGAATTTATTTCAGTTTTCAATTCAGGCATTAGGACTTTAAATTTTCATCTGCATTTTTATGGCTAGACCTGAAGTGTGATTTAAACTTTGAAGAGAGATGCAAAATGCAGAAAAAATGTGGGGTCTGTGTTTGAGACCTAGGTGTGTCTGTTCATAAAATCATGAAAGATGTTCAGGTAAGAAAGATAATAGAATAAAAGAAGATAATCCCATATTTTAATGGGAATGGCAGGGGTGTAGGTGTAGCAGTGTGTGAAATCTTGGGGCCTGTGATTTTGTTTCAGAAGTATTTAGTTGCTGCAGAAAGCTGATGTGCACTGGGGTGGATTTTAACCGTAAGAGTGCAGGATATTAGTAAGGAGAAAGGAAGTAACGTAGTTGCTGTAGAAAAATAAGGTGAACCAACAGAAGTGAACAAAAATGGAGTTTGGAATGGAACAGTGTCACATGAAAGGAAGTAAAAATATTGGTGTGAACTAAGATATCTCTTTATAGGCAGTGCTAAGTAAAGGCAGATTAGGAAAGCGATTTTGACAGTGTGTAGGAGAGACAGAAAATAGGAAATGAGGAGCAGGAATCCACTCGCTAAAGCATCACCAGAGGAGCTGAGAAGGATGAGAGAAAGTAAGACATTCAGTTGAGGCCAAAGAACAAGCAGCAGTATTGTGGAAGAGAAGGACTTCAGGGTAAAGAATCAAAACTGGTGGTTTATAGAAGGTCTAGAGTGGTGAAAGTGAGGAAGCAGTAAGTTGGGGGGGTAAGAGAATTCCTGTCTTGGAAAGGCTCTGGAAAGTTTACAGGAAAAAGCTTTAGAGAGTGTAACAGCAAAAATAAAGTTCAAGAGAAAGAAAAGCTATCAGCAAGTGCAAATAAGGCTCTTAAGATTGCCTCAGTTATTGCCACTGATCACTTATGTCTACTAAAAGAGAGAAAATGAACAAGCTAAAATCATGCCTTTAAACTCAGTGACTTTGCTCAAATCTCTTGTCATGGGTGTTGAAACTAGGAGGAAACCATCAGCACTGCAAGATGATATGGCTTAATCCATGCACTATCCCCTTCCTTGGACAGGCATGCAAGTGTGCCTATCTGTCTGCCAGACAGATAGCAACCTCAAGCTCAACACTGATTTGGATTTAAAGCAAAAGAAAGGAAGGTTAATTTTCATCTTCCCTGTCCAATTCAGTGTGGGATCACACAAATGCCATTGAGCTGTCGATGACAGGACTAGTTCTTTCAGTGCTATTTCCATGAACTGGGCCCTACAGTGGTTTTCGCCCCTTACACACAGAGAGCCATTACCTGTGTTTGTCTTCTACAAAGCACTTTCTAAGCAAGTTGAGCCAGCCTTAGTGCTTCTGCAGTCCCTGCCATATACTCCTTCAGTGTTTTCCTATGCCTCCTTTAGCAATTTTTTCAACTCTAGAGAGCGGAACTTTCCTTTCTTTTTCATTGTCTCCTTCAGATTCTTTGGGTTTTTTTTCCAGAGGTATTAATAAGATAAGCTAATGGAAGAGGCTTGACAATATGCAGCTAAGAAGGGGTAGAACCGTGTCACTGCTTACCTTGGGTTGGTGTGATTTCTGGCATTCGGCCCTCACAGTGTAATTCCATGAGGATGCATAAGGATGATACATACCTTATTCTTTCCATCTTGTCTTCTTCCATCACTACCCCAGGTTTCAAACATCCAGTGCTATCCTTCCTTGCCTTGTGCCAGCTCTGGTTGTCATCTGTCTTTCCATCAGCCTGTCTAACATTCTAAAGCATTCTGAAACATTATGAAAGAGCATATCCTTCTACCATTTTTGTTTGGAGGCATCCTGGCTTCTACCGTTTTTGTTTGAAGGAGTCCTGGCTGAAGAATTCTTTAGGAGGTAGCAAGGATGAGAGCTGTTAAAGCCATTACATTTGATCAGCTGCACAAGACCACAGAAAGTCCCCCATAAGGACTGTAATTCAATCTAAGTAGAAATCCATTAGCTTGAAAGCGGTCTGCTCCCCACTATTTGGCCCGGAGTGGTCTGAATGCATGTAATAGTTGTTATTAATGCATTATTAAACCATTTATTGCCTTTAATTCAAAAAGCTTGGACATGGTAGACTGCAATAATCTGATCCTTGTTGTGGAACTGGAATAAACTGCATATGTATGTGTCTGCTGCAAAGTTTGAAGTACTTTAGTGAAACAGTAGTCTCTAATAACTGATAAATTATTCTCAGCTGTACTGTTATACAGCTCCTTTAGAGATTTAAGTTTAATTCATATGGCCTGTTGCAGCGCTAAAAGAGATTTAGAGCACAATTGTACATTGACCAGTTTACTTAAATAGATAGTGTGTTTTAAAAAAATACTGTTCCCACCATACCTGCCTTGTGATGTTTGCATTATGGAATGAGAATTCTCAAGTGGCAAGATGAAGGTGCTTTGCAACCCAGGAGCTTCTAAAGCTGTGGGACTCTGCCAGTGTTAAATTCATAGCAGGGACACAGTTTTACTTAACTGCAGTTGTCTCATTTTTTTTAGGCTTGAATAACTGACAGAATCTAAAAGAAGGAGACGCATTCACCAAATATGGAAGAGGATACCAAACCTATCTTGGTTCCTGTGGGAGGCAATGAAAGTAATTATGGAATCATGAATATACAGTTTAATCCAGAAGACTATAAGTGCAAAAGGTATGAGGAAGGCTGAACCTACAGAATTATTATATAGTTTAATCTTTGCTTTTAACAACAGAATCCTACAAAGACAGAAGACTAACATTTGGAAACCAGGATCTGAATACAAACAGTTCCTACTTTGTCTGTATATGATACTGTTCTGTTTCCAGGCACTGGGTGAATAAATGGTATTACTGTGTTTTGTTTGTAAGGGTAAGACTTTTCTATTGCCACCACTTCAGAGAGAGTTCTGCATGTGGCTTTTAAAATGCTCTTCAAACATGGAATATCATGTGTGTATACTGGTGCATGATTTTTTTTTTTTATTTAGCACAACCAACTGAAATGTAGAGATCATGCAAGAAAGCTTGCCAGATGATGTAGATAAATGGCTGTCAGTATGAATAGATGGTGCTGTGTGCATTCTGCAGGTGATGCTGGAAAAATACATTATTTGTTAGTACTAAGGGAAATGAGTGACCTTTACTGCCTTTCAAGGAAAAAATATGTAGTTCTTTTTGAGATTGAACAAATATGAAAAATTCAGCAGTCCAGCCTTACTGCTGTGCCTTCAAAAACAATACCTATCTAGCGAAGTGGTTATTTTGCATTTTTTTAAGAGTTTAACAGCTCTGTTTCCTAAAGGAGGTTGGAGTGGGAGACTTCCTCTGCTGCAGTTAAGATTTCTGTGGGCTGGTCCTGGAACCAAAACTGAGATTGGAGTGGGAACTGCCCTTCTGATACTAGCTGGAGGCACCAGCTCTGCAATTTTATATGAAGGATTAGCCCTGTACCACCTCTTGGACCGTGTTTATGTTTTTCCCCCTCTGCATCCAACATCGTATTTCAGTAAAGCTGTTTTCCTGAAGAAACTGAAGATGGCACTGTTGTATACAAAATACTGTTGTTGGGGTTCACTTCAGCCAAAAAAAGTTTTTTATGATAGTGCTTTGCTGCTGTCTCAGCCTGCAGCTTTGGAAAGCCATCAGAGCCTACTTGTACGTGAGCCAGGGGCTAAATAATCTCTCTTTTGTCTGGCAGCAAAGGAAGGAGGATAAGGGTCTGAGTGAGCCCAGGGGAGCAAATGGAGTACAGGTGCAGGAGCATATGGAATCCTGTATATAAAGGTTAGGAAACGCTAGAGTACTTTTATGTGGGAAAAGGCAATTGTGCTACATGAAATCTTGTTCTAACTTCTTTTTGGGGAGTATCTGAGCCCCTCCTGGCCCTCCTGACATAAGAAGACTGATAGTTTATATGGCTTTTGGAAACTCCTTGTTCTGAAGGAAATATGTGTTTTGTTTAAAGAGGAGCAGTGGGTTTCAGGTGGCATGGTGATGCAGTGGCAATGAGAGAGGTTTACATCTTTTTGATATATCAAAACGCCAAGACTCACTTTTTTAAGTGAGGTTAGGTATTGTTTCCTTGTAGTGTTGTTGGCTTTTTTCCTTGTGATTTCCCAAGTTTGGAGACTCAACTTCGTAAAAGGCCATAGCCTGGCATTTGGTTCCCTCCCTGAAAGCAAATGTATTGCGTTCCCACCTCCACAGCCTCCAGCTGTGCAGATATGTTTATTTTGTCTGTAATGCTCCTCTCTTGAGTTCATTCCCCCATTTTCTACAATCTAGTTTTTTGCCTTCTAAGCATGCAGAGGGACAAATATGAAGGGCACGAGCCATGGGATATCAGAGGGGCCTGGAAATCATAGTGGGGCCGAACTAGTTTGAACTCCATCTCTGTATTAGAAGAGGCAGCTGCAGACTTCAGAACAGGCCATCGGGGTCTGTGTCAGTTGTAGTCAGAGCAGTAGGCAGTATGAAGGGCTTCTTCATTAGACCTTTACGGAATAGCAGCTCACGGGAAGGAGGTTTATTATGCATGAAAGTATCAAACAGTGCAATTGCAGGAGTACAGTGCAAAGTATGCTCTGCTTACTTTGTTCCTTTTTTTGACTCGCTGTTCAAAAACCTGACCCGACATTGGTGGTTGGTCATTTTCCTTTGGTTGAGGTAGCTCTTCGAGGGTTTTGTTTGATTTGCTTGTAATTACTGTCTTTGTGCTGTTTTGTTCTTTTGTTTGAGTTGATTGAGATTTGATGGCATTTGCATAGTTATTTGGTTTTCTTAATAGCTTGGAGGATTTGGGATTTTTGAAAGGCATGCTTTTCAGTGTTTACACACAAACAATAAGCCAATCGTTTGTTAGAGTTGTAAATTACTTTGTTTAGTATTGTTTTGCTAATTTGGGGGAAATATTAAACCACTTTTAATCCTTTTAAAGAGGATGTTGTTGTTCTTCGCAATGCCCCGAATTACTCACGCCGTATTTAATGTGTTTTGCCCATTTTGTAGGTCCCTTTAAAAACTAGAATGTCATTGCTGCAGTGGCTTATTGATGATTATTGTATGCAAGAGAGGGAGTTTCATGTTTTCTTTTGACTGCTCTTTAAATCTGTTTATTGTCAACAGATACTGCAGTTGTCTCCAGGAATACTTGAACCTTCAGAGAAGCAGTTGATGTTTCGTGTTCTTTATTTTGCTTATGAAAAACCTTGACAATGCCTCCTGCTAAAGGGAGATCAAGGTTTCTAGTTTTTTTCTATTCTTTTTGAAGTCTCACAGCTTTCTCACAATTCAGGAGACATCAGCAGGTGAAATTAAAGTTATAAATTAAACAGTGTCTGTAGATGGCAGTCAGAGAAGCCTTTTACATGCAAAAGAGGTTGATTCCCTTTATTTTCAAAGTTCTTTTAACTTACAAAAAGGGAGACAGTGGTTAGCAACCTGTGCAAAACTATCCTTTTTGCATCCATTATGCCTTTACCACTCCACACCTATGTGGTCATTTTACTTAATTGCGTGTTTTCCCTTTTCCTCCATTGCTAATATTTTTACAAATTCCTAATATTACTCTTTTTAGCTGGAAAGAATTGGAAGCTCCTTAATTAGGAACCTTCGTAGTTCTTTGTAAGCAAAGAGTAGAATATTTTTGCCTTAGACACAGAAGAGTGAACAGTGACTGAAATGTGGTGAGGTAAAGCTTATGATTCTTAACTTGTTAAAATTTTGTGCTTTGAAAGGTTATTTTAGTTTTGCATCCAGCATTTTAAGATACTTGTGTGCTCATGCTGTAATCACTATAATGGTGATATGAAAGCAGAAAAATTTTAAGTAAAATGCGTTTCCAAGAGAATGAAGATCTTATAGGATAACTGTAAGCACACTGTTTTACAATGTTTCAGTAAATTTAGATAGCTTAGAAAGTCAGTCATGGAAATCTTTGGCGCAAGTTTCCTTAAAAGAAGCACACTGACATCTGTAATCGTAGAAGATCCTGAGTTGGAAGGGATCCACAAGGATACTCAAGTCCAGCTCCTGGCCCAGCACAGGACAACCACAAAAGTCACACAATGTGCCTGAGAGTGTTGTCCATAGGCATCTTGAACTCTCTCAGGCTTGGTGCCATGACTGTTTCCCTGGGGAGTCTGTTCCAGTGGCTGGTGTTCCTATCCAGATAGGCAGTTCCCAAGTATGAAATAGCATCTTATGAGTATAGTCTTATTATGACTTCTTTTCCTTAATTTAGTGTCCAATATAACGAATCAGTTTTACTCCTCAGTTTCTCCTGTGCCATATACAGCATTCTTGTAATAATTTGTTAACTCAATAAAACAATAAAGCTATAGGAATTTACTAACTTTATTTCTGTGTAACAATCCTATTACATTCCTGAAAAGTAAATTAGTCATGTGGGGTGTCAGAGAAATGGCTCCTCATGATCTTTTTGGAGGAGAGGAAAAAAATTGTAAAGCAACCTGTAAAGAGGTTTTTCTTTTTCATATTTGTTTAAAAATTAAAAGTTTGTGTTATGTGAAGTCATTAATACTGTCATGTAGAGCCAAAAGACACAGTGGCAAAAAAATTCTATTCCATTGTAACAGCTCAATACTTAGCACATTTTTGATCAGAACTCCAGAATCAGTTGTTTGACGTTTAAAAATACTTCAGCAGAGGTACTTGAAAAACAGTATTATGGAATTTAAAACTTCTTGAGATAGGTGTTAGTCCTACTCCTTCATTGCTCTGCAAGTTGTAGTATATTGCTGAAAATGTCCAGAAGAAAGATGTAGCACCCTTATGCAGTTGCAAAATTGTATGTAGTTTGCCAGTGTTCCTATTATGCTGTTCCCTCTAATACTCCAATCCAACACTTGAACTTTGCCTACCACAATGTTTGGAAACAACCTTTATCGAGAACATCTCTTCATTTTCTTTGCTTGCAGATATTGCTACTGAAGTTGAAAATATAAGAAGTTTGGACAGAAGCCCTCTTCTCTCTTTTCCAGATCTATAGAATTCTTATTATCTGTCCCTTTGTGTGAGTGAGAAAAGCTGAGTTTAGCTGCAGGTTTTCTGAGAATGGTTTCTGAAGTACAGGTGTGGAGTGTAGTGTGTGGAAGGTGTGGAGTTCCTGCATGAGCTCCTGCAGTTGTCCATATTCATGGTGCTGTGGAAAACAGCTCTGTTTTACTGAGTGTTTGCCCTGGTAAAAGAGCATTGTTTTTCAGGCTATTTAATGAAATATTAATTGTAATTGTGTTTTTTAGTATGGATAAAGTTTAATGGACACTATAGTTTATCTCAGCGTATGGAAATTGTCTGCACTGTTTCACATCCACAGTCACACCCTCCAGTCACATAACCTCTCCCCTTCCCCCAGATCACATTGTCCACCATCCTTTTCATAATAATTTTGCCATGTGAGACATATAATGTAATTGCCTTTATAAATCAGTGTATTTTAATAGAAATCTGTTGCAGCTGCTAATGCTTGCATGTACAGGAGTGCTTGCCCACTAGACATATGGTCCCTAAACAGAGTTTTTCAAAATATATCCAAGATTATATCCTAGCTGCTTTGGGCTTTGAAAATCTCAGTCTTTGAGAATTTCTTTGAGTCTTTGAGAGAGCTTCTTAGACTCCTGTCTGCATATGCCCTACAATCAGTCTTTGATCTGGGTGTTGCTGGGAAGCAGGGAAAAAATAACCTTGATCCTAGACAGAATGTTACCCTTTTCTAGTGGTGATCAGTGAGGAAGGTTGCCTCCCAGCCTCCCTCCTGGGAGGCACAGTCAGACTGACAGTCAGCATCCAAGTCAGACTGATGTTTTCAAAGAGATCTGCAAGAAACATAAAGCTGATGGGTGGTCAGTCTGGTCAGTCTATTTTAGCAGTCACTTTCTCAGTAGGCCTAGTGCAGTGGTACCCCAGAAGAAACAAAATGAACTGCTGCTTAACATCATTTTCATTTTCAACAGATGTACAGTAGAAGGGATCAGGAGGGGAAGTAGCTCAAGTATTGGCAGCAATAAACGTGTGTACTCCTTTAGTCAGGAGCCAGAAGTAATAGATATGAAGAATTTCTTAGGGCTTTTTTAATTTTATTTTCCTTACCCATAGATTAGATTCTGGATCATACTCTTCTGTTTTGTGCTATACCAAAAATTCCTTGTTTAATCCAGACCCTGTTGATAGTACTGAAGAGAATTAATTGTCTTTTAAGAATTTCTTACCTACAGATAGGTTTTTGCTGCATGTGATTTTTTTTTTCTTGATATTTGGTTGTTGACTAACAACACTGCTTTCCCCATAGAATAGGATGCTGTATTCATGTTTCCTATTATTTCAGTTTTAAAATCATCCGTGGCTTCTACTTAAATTACTTTAAAAATAATCTCCTGTTGTCTTCCACTCTGGAAGAATTTTCTTTGACGTCCACATCAGCAGTTGTTGAACACCATTTTCAAGGAAATCTTCATGAAGGTCTTCACACTATGCAGTTGCTGTAAAACTAGCAAAACACATACCTTTAAGTGTCTTAAGTTTAGTGTGTGTCACTGATCTAAAAAGAAATCAGCAGAGATGACTGGGGGTGGGGCTGCATTTAAGCATATTACTTTTCCTGTTTTTATAGCTACAGTCTTTATTTTGCAGGTCTTCTAATGAAATAGTTTTAGCTGTGTCCAGTGATTGGATCAGACTCATAAATTTTAAACTAAAACAGGTGAAGTCCTTTAGAGCTGACAATCCATGAGTGTTTTTGTACATTACCTATGCCTGGAATTAGTTAGCCCCATGTGCCTGTGACTTTAGTAATAAAGCTTTTGCTTAAAATTTATTCCTGTTCAATTGAGATATCTCTCTAAATTGTTTATAAGAACACCACAGAAAATCAAACACAAACCAGAGATTTCCCCCCTCATAATCATAGGAAAAAAGAGGCAATTGAGAGTGTTTTAAAAATTCAGTGTTCGTTTGCATTTCAGTAAGTGTGAAACAACTTAGCAAATCTAAGCCATTTTTTACTTGATGAAGCAAGATGTAAGAATTAATTAAGGTGAAGAAAAGAATGAATTTATGGAAAGGGAAGTTTGTGTTCTCTATTTTCCACTTTTATGAGTCAGGTTTTCTTAGTCTCATAAATAATCCTACCTACTATGTCCCCTCAATAGGGGAATAGGGAATAGGGAACTACCTTCATCTCTTCCAAAGACAGAGGAAAACTGTATTCCTTGTATTCCTTCCAGATGAAAGGTGGTGTCATGGTACAAATGCTTATTGGTGTTGAGAGCTGGGGCAAGAGGGGTTGACCAAGTTCCTTTGTAGTCTGGAACAGAAGTGAGTATTGAAAATCAGTCAGTTCAAATAGATTTTGCTTATATTACAGGAGAAATGGCATTGATTTATTTCTGACCTAATTTCTGTCCTTGGTAGTCAGAAACTTGTGGGTCCTGGTTTTGGAGTGGTTCTTGTTTAAGTGATGTAAAATCAACCTGGAAGAAGATCAGAAAGCTGTTGAGATAGTTTTAAAAATTAAAAAACCTGGTAAAAGGAAAAAAAACCCCAACGTACTGGGGCTTAAAGGCCACCATTGTCCTCTCTCTTGTTTGAGAAATTAGCTTGTCAGTGCTAGAAGTGAATGTATACTAGAGCATAGTATACCTATATGGAAGTAAATTATACTTGATTAAAAAAAAAAATCTTTGCAATATCTTGATTTGGTCACATTTATCTGGTAGTGCCCCTTGGATGAAGCTGGATTTATATTGTATTGTAACTTTCACTTTGCTTGCTCAACCTCTGTGAGTGCAGAGAAAAAAAGGGGCATATGGTGTGCCTGCTTTCTCCTTCAGTGTCTGTGACCATGCCTGCAGTCTAACTCAGGTGGGGAAGAGGAAGGGAGACAAATTCCATTCTCTGTTGCATTGGCTTAAAAAAAGTATGGGCACATGGACTTATTTGGGCTTAATTCTTTCCCCATTAAACACAATTCCATACTGTGTTTTTTGGCTAAATTAGTAGTTCCTAACCTTTTTTATAGGTGGTCCTCATTACCACTGCTTGTTCCTCTCTTTGCTTTCTGCTTCTGCATTCTCATGCTTTCTGTTCCTCATCACTATTTCTGGGAACACTGATTATAAGCTCTAATAAGCTTGCCCAAGCTTATTAACATGTATTTCTGGTGTGATTCATTGTTGAGAACTAACAGACTGTATATGAGGTCTGAATTTCGATGTTAGGCTGCCCTGCAGAATCTGAGCAGGAGGCCATTTTAATATGGATGATATAAACTCATGGTTCTTTCATGGGTGGCAGCTTCCCTCATGGCATTGATTTTTTTTTGCATCTGCTTTGTGTCAGTGAATGACAGAATCATCCTGAGTGTTTATGAGCTATTCTGTGAGTTGTATATTAGCTCTTGTATTCTAGGGTTTTAAGGGTTTTCTTTTTTTTTTCTTTTTTTCCCCTCCTTTAGACCATTTCATGTGGAGCCTACAAACATAGTCAGTGTGAACAATGACGTGCAAAGAGTTACTGACAAAGCTTCAGCAATGAATAAGCGGATTCATTACTATAGCAGGCTCACCTCCCCTGCAGACAGGGCATTGGTAAGGCAGGGCCACTTGAACTGGGTGGTCTCTGGCATGTTGGGTCTTCCACAGCCTAGATTTGTATCAGCAGCAGAAATAAAAGGTGGGGAAGAATCGCTCTGCAGCTTGCTTGGAACTAACTAACTAGTAGCTGAGTGAATCACAAGCTGTGATTTACTTCTTGTGCAATGCCTTCACCATTAAAAGAAAACATACAAACAACTTGAATTTTATAGCAGTGATCCAGGCTGCCCAGATGTATGACCTCATTTCTCCCATCTATAAGATTTAAGCAGTGGTGAGCTGTGGTGATTGAACCATTGAACTAGCATGATCCATGCGTAGTGTCTTTCCAGACATTTTGCAGAAGAAAAATGCACATTTCTGCTGTCTAGCTAAAAATCCTATCAACTGTTGGGTTTTTTCCCCTGGGGAGAAAATAAACATAATACAACATTTTATCTGTTTTTTTGGTTTGTTTGTTTTGGCTTGGTTTGGTTTTGGTTTGGGGGGTTTTTTGCTTGTTTGGGTTTGGTTTTTTTGTTGGTTTTTCTTTTTAATAATGTAGTGTCCTGGAAGCATTTTGTGATTTACAATGGTTGACTTGCTGTATTTGGTACAATAGTTACTATGGTGTTACTAATACATCTTATTTTTTATCCATTTGTTAGATTGCTCCTGATCATGTACTCCCAGCTCCTGATGAAATCTATGTCTACAGTCCATTAGGAACTGCTTTTAAAGTTGACACTTGCACAGATGGCTACGGTAAAAACTCCAGTCTAGTGACAATGTATGTTAAGCACCTTGCCATATATTAGCCAGAAAATGCATTATTATTGAATGTTCTATATTGCATGCATAACTATTGTAACTAAGAGGGCAATATGAAATAAGAGGGATTCTTAAATTATTCACTGAGTTTTTTCTTTTCTTCCTAGATTTATGATATGGAATACAATGATGGGTACATCCATATTAAGTATCCCATGGGGAATAAAACAGGTAAACTATGAAAAATGTATGTGTATGAAAACATTTTTGGTAACATGCTTGCTCTTCATTTTTCTGTAGTATATTGATAAATAAGCTGTATTTCTCGCTCTTAACAGGCAGGCTTCACTTCTGGAATTATTCTCATTTTACTCATGGGCATTTTGACTCTTTATTGCTGCTACAGAGTTGTGAAATCACGGCAAATAATACGTAAGAAATCCAAAGCTTTATAATGCAAATATTTCCTTTAGCGTGAAATACAGATATATAATAGATTCTCAGTTTATTTGCGTCTTTACTATATGTTAGACCTGACCTGCAAATAAAAGCTGTGCCTTTCAATGTCTCTCTGTTTTTGTAGTGTGCATCTAAGCTCTGTAAGCTAAATGATTGTCTTCGTTATTAGATGATCATTCAGTTGCTTGGGACCTAAGTGGTATAGCCAAACCCAAATTCTTAAAAAGCAGGATTTCAGGTGTTGACTTACTAAGTGTTTGGACTTAGGAAGAGGCTTCACTTCTCCATAAGCACTGTCTGGTTCTCTACATATATTTCTGATCAAATTACACAGTGGAACAACATAGGCTGTAGCTGCGTCCCCTTGTTCTGTATACCTGTATTACCCTAATATTTGTGTGTATTCTGTGTTGAAAACAATTTATGGACAGTCACCCAACTGACAGCTGCTCTAATTAGAATGTAGTTTTATTCTTACAAACATCTTGCAGCTCTTGTAGTTGGTGCTTTTGTGCATAAACTAACCTCTCACTTGCTCAAATAAAGGCCATTAAGACCTCCAGTTTGTGGCAATGCATTTCAATGGAATTGTTGAGGAACAGTTCTTGGTCAAAGTAGTAGGATGGCCAAGATAACAGTCTCTATTTCAGGCTTCTTTGGTTGAACATTTAATGAATATTATATTTCAAAGTTACCGGCAGTCTTCTTAGTCCTTGAAAGCACTGTGACTGTGTGTCAGAGTATTCTAAAAAAAGAACACAATCTTTCATTAATAGTTCTACTGACTCTAATATAAGATTTTGTTAAAATATGTTCCTGTTTTTGGTATCTTTTTCAGCTTTAATAGATACCTCAAACTGGGAATTCCCAGATGTTTGCAAGTATTACTTTGGATCCTTTGGTCAGTGGTCAAGCCTCTTGTTTTCTATGATATCACTTGTTGGAGCCATGGTTGTTTATTGGGTGCTTATGTCCAACTTTCTGTTCAACACAGGGAAGTTTATATACAGTAAGTATACATTTTTTTGTTAACTTTTACAGCAATCTTGTGGAAAGATCAAGACTTTGCTTTACACTGAAAAAGTCTGTTTTATGTAATCATGATTTTCCTGCTACTGGATATGCAAAATCAAGTCTACATGTGGTGTTGTGGGCACAGTTATGTGTGTTTTCAAAGCCACTTTCTCAGTCTCTCTCTCAAAGTGCGGTTTTAATGAAAGACAAAGTACCATTCATCTCGTTTGCACGTCAATAATGAGGCTTCTTGGTGTAATTCAAACAACCTAAACCTGGTTGCTTGTTTTCACTTTGTCTTTTCACTCCCCCTTTGTTTGCATGGGTGTAACTATTTGAACAGCCATATAATAGGCTAGACTGTTGAAATGATTCAGGTTAATGAAATTAAAAAATCTAGTTTCATTCTAGATTTCAACAAACACACTTTGCTATATATATATATATATTTGCAAGTGTTTGTGAAAAAACAATGATCTGTAGCACAGTGAAAGACCAATGCGTAGTGTGGTATTGCTACAAAACAGAACGATTATTTACACCCTTGTATGTGCACAGACATAGAAGCATTTGTGGGTACAATCAGTTAGGTATCTAGAGTTGTGGGAATGGATGATGGAATTGAGAGCTTTGACAATCTGACTCATACCGTTGAATAGCTGCTAAGAAGAAAGTAGTACAGTGTGGAGCTACTTTAGAACACTTCTAAAATTGTTTTAAAATATCCTCTTGGGGCTGGAGGGAGTGCAAGCTGCTGTATTTCTGATGAAATTTTCAAAAAAATATTTTCTTACTTAATTTTTATCAAGTCAACAGATAAAAACCTAACAGTAGGTTTGGGACATTGATAACAAGATATTCTTCTTTTCAGACTATGTTCATGACATTAATGTAACAGATATTGTTCCCGGCACCAATGGAAGTAACAAAGGTAAGAAGCACTTAATAGTATTGTGTTTCCTGGTTTAGGGTGGGCAAATCATCATGTTTCCATGCCTAACCACATTCCAGTTCTAAAGTACATATTGTAAGTTCTAACTATGTTTTTAAAAAAACTGTAATTTTCTATCTGGCATTTGTACTTCCACAAATAACCACACACTTAAAAAGCTTAATAATTGGAGAGGAAAAAAAAAGAAAAGAAAGTGGGTGTGAGTATAAGTATTAAAAAGCCAATGACAAGTTTGTGTATGCCAGATAACATGCTCCTTAAAAACATGAATGTTAGACTTCTTAACAGTAGTTGCACAATGAGGAATTGCCTTAAGGAATTTTAACTTTCACACCCTGAAGTTGAGGCACCTCAACTGTTTACTGTTTAAAATCTTGTATGGGGCAGCTTTGCTACTCACTAGTTCTGCACCAAGACTCTTTTTTTAAAAACTTATGTAAGAACAGCTCTTATGATGCTGAATGCGAAAAAAGAAACAAATGTCACGTTACTTGAGCCTCTGCTTGTGTTTTTTGGAGAGTCTGACATTTGCACAACTAAGAGAAGAAACTGGAGTCAGGTATGAACATAGGCCTGTTGAGAGTTCTTAAGTAGGCAGAACAATGTAGAATGAAGGCAGGAGCAAGGCAGGCATTGTTAACCCATGATCTTTTTGCCTGTGTATAGTGACTGAATTTGTAATACTTTGTTAAGAAGCAGAAAGGTTTCTCCATCTTGAGTGCATAAGAAATGAGGAAACATCCTAACTAGCTGGGCAGCTGTGTGTCACAAAAGCTACAGCTGGGTTTCTGGAGAGCAGATGATAGAGTCAGGCAAAGGAGTTGAAGAATAATTCTGAAAAACGGTTGATTTGCATTTGCGCTAGTGTTGAATCTTGCTTCTCCAACAGTCCTTACCAGCATGACACCAGTAACTGCTGCAGTGCTTTTTTTCTTGTGCTCCCTCCTGCTTCTGCTGTTCTCTCCCATTCTTATGTAGCAGGGGGGTGTAACTTGGAGGCAGAGTAGACAACAATATTCCACACTGTCCTCCACCAAATAAAAGATCTAAAGCATCTGCTTCACAAAATTAAGGGCTGCCAGATGTTCAAGTGGCTCTTGACAGGACATTCAGGGCTACCAAGGAGATCAGTAAGAACAAAAGCATTTTTCAAGGTCTGAAAAACAATCCTCTGTTAAGCATGAAATTTGCCAGAACACTTTTTACACCTTTGCCTTTTTAACAGAACAAGAGTGCAGCCAATGTAGGAGGGTGGCTATTGACTATTGTGGGATGCCAAGATTTAAAATAAGACATTATGAGAACAATATGACAGGTTTATATTTCAACACATAGCTTCATAGTTGTGTTAGAAAAATCAAATGAACATGTTTTTATCAAGGGATCTTTTTGTTTTGTTGGTTTTGTTGCAGTCACTTGTTCAGGTGCTGCCATTGATCAGCCACCATGTAACAGGAGTGTGACGTTGCCTTTTAGCAGTGATACGGGAGCATATCTTAAATTTCTTCTTTTATGTACAAGTGATGTACTTGGCCCTGGCACAGCACCAAGATGACAAGAGCTTTTTGGTTTAATGTATGAGTTTTAGACGTGCCAGTTGCTTTATTTCCATCCTTAGTTTATGTGTTTCTAGAGCAATGTGCAGTAATTCAAGATCCTCTGTACACAAAAGTACTTGCATCTTGGTTCCTATGATCTTACTGAAGTGTTCAGGGACAGATTAGGATGTTAAATTTGCAGCCAGATGCAGAGGTACATTGCTAGGATTTGATCAAACAAGTGCACCTAGGCACTTAACACACCTAGTTATAGGTATGTGACCTTGAAAGCTGATCCTGTCCCACAACTTGGGCTTCAGACAGATTGTTGTCTTTGTTGTGCTCAGCTGGAAGAACTGTAGCACTGTCAGATTAGTGTGCAAGGTGCCTAGCAGTGGAATCTTAGCAATGAACTCCTGATTAAAAAAAACAAATAGAAGTTAGGAACTGAGATGTCGAACATTACTTTTGAGCAGTACTCAATAGTTAAAACACACCAGAAATCACAGGTCTTGGCTGTGAATATTCTGTGCAAGTAAAACTCTTTTAATGTGAGAATATTTTTCTTTCCTTTCTTCCAGTCATTTGTCCAAGTGCTGCTAGCGGTCACCTGCCACAGAACAGGGGTGTGGTGTTCTCTGCTGACAACATTACGGGTTTTACACTGTTTGAGAAGTGGTGGAACAAATCACAAACAGTACCATTTTACCTGATTGCTGTTCTTCTACCCATGCTAAATCTGAAGTCTCCGTCCTTCTTTGCGAAGTTTAATGTCTTAGGTAGGTAACAAATACTATGAAAGCGTTAGTTCATTGTTACTAAAATGTATAGAAGACAGTGAAAGCTACTCCATTGAGTAGAATTGTAGTTTCTTTTAAGTTAGAAAAGACCTCTAAGGTCATCGAGTTCAACCATTAACCCAGCACTGCCAAGTCCACAATTAAATCATGTCCGTAAGTGCCACATCTACACATCTTTTAAATACCTGCAAGGATGGTGACTCAGCTGCTTCCCTGGACAGCCTGTTTCAATGCTTGACAATGCTTTCCGAGAAGAAAGTTTTCCTAATATCCAGTCTAAACCTTCCTTGGCACAACTTGAGGCCATTTCCTCTTGTCCTATTGCTTGTTTCTTGGGAGGAGAAACAGACCCCCACTTGGCTACAACCTCCTTTCAGGAAGTTTTATAGAGGGATGAGGTTTCCCCTGAGCCTTCAGGCTAAACAACCCCAGCTCCCTCAGCCACTCCTCATAGGACTTATGCTCCAGACCCTTCACCAGCTTTGTTTCTCTTTCCTGAACACTCTCCAGCACCACAATGTCCTGCTTGTCTTGAGGGGTCCAAAACTGACAGTATTCATGTCACAGATGCAGCCTCACCAGCGCCCAGTACAGGGGGACAATCACTGCCCCAGTCCTGCTGACCACACTATGGCTGATACAGGCCAGGATGGCATTGGCCTTTTTGGCCACCTGGACATGCTGCTGGATCATGTTCAGTCGCTGTCAACCAGCACCCCCAGGTGTCAGTTTCCACTGGGCAGCTTTCCAGCCACCCTTCCAATATTTTGCTTACAGCCAGTGTTATGCCTCAAAGGGGGTTGTTGGTTTATTAATCCCGTAGGCTTTCTGTGCTGCTTTGCTTGAATTTTACAGTTAATAGGGAGTTAATTTTTTTTCCCTTTGCTTGCTTGATAATACTGTAAAACAAGTTCCAGTACATCTACAACTGATTTTCCCAAATGGTGGTACTATGCATCATTTGATACATACTACTTGGGTATAATCAGGCATACCCTTCCTTGCCTGGTAAACTTTTAAAACAGGCAGTTACTTCCAAAGATTAATTGCGTCTGACCTGAAGGAATATGCTGCCAATCAACTGATTAATTAATCACAACATCATTCAGTCAATGTGACCTGCTTCTGTGCTTTGTCCCAGACCCCAATTCAGTGGGCTGTTTTGTGCTACAGGGGCAGAAATTGTGACTTTTTCCTTCCATGTCTTGAGATAGAAGACCAAGGGGGGTGGGGTTGGTAAAGAAGATAAAGCACATGGATGATGGGTGGAGTTGGTCACAATTTATGGAGTATCAGGGGTCTGAGAGCATAGCATTGAAGCCCACAGTGAAGCGAAGGGAAAAAATAGATGGAGGTCAGAGAACAGGTTGAAAAAGTTGGAGATGTATTGTAAAGTAGGTAGAGGACAGAGATTTGAAGGTCTTGGTTGGCCTCTGTTCCATTGTGACAGTTTATTGGAGCTTGAATCTGCTGCTGTTGGAACCGCTGTGTAAATACCACACAGGAATTTGGGTACTTGATAGTGTTCCTGTGCAAAAAGGAAGGTTTTTGTGTAGATAGGTATGGCATAAGGAATAAAACCCTGAATATTAATTACTCATCGTTTCGATAGATTATTATGTAATTCAGAAGCTGTTCAAAGTTGCCTTAATTTTTGTAAACTTTGACATTTATAGGACAAGAAGAAACAGAAGGCAGTTTTTGAAATGTTGGCAGTAATCTTAGTAGAGATCTTTCACTTACCTTTATACCCATGGAAACCTAACTCACTAGGAATCTACAGAACATTTTAGCTCATCTTTAAGTGCAGAACCTTTTATCTTCCTAATGTCTTGATTATGCTGTCAGTTGTAATCAAATGATAATTTCTTCAGTTATTTTTAACCTGGCAGATATTGCTAGAATGAAATTATGTTTTTTTTAATCTATATTCTAAACCGTAAAAGTGCTAATTTTTTGTTTTTATGTAATTATAGCCTGTTCTCTGTTCACTAGAAGTATTATTGGCCAGGAGGTGAATTGCAGTAGCCTTAATTATTGTTGCTCATTTTCCTTCAATTTTTGAGTAGTTACTATTCTGTCCTTATCTCTTTCAAGTCCCCTGAGCTAAGATCTTATGCTCTCCATCCCACATGAATACACAGCAAGGCATTTATATCCATCTGTGATCTTATTTGTAGTGCTGTAGCTGTGCAGAGTACTGCTGGATGCCTCTGAATCCATGAGTTGGAATGCAAATCCAATGTTGTGATCAAGGTCATCCAAGGTTATGATTAAGACAAGGCTTTAATTTGTAGCGATCAAATATCATTATCAGCTTTAGCTCCCAGTGTATAGTTCACAATGGTAGTAAATGTGTTTATTTCATTGGGCTGTTTGGTTCAAAAAGTCAGTGACTAAATGAACATTGTAATACTGTTACCAGTGTTGTCTCAGAATAAAATCCTGACAGCTGAAGCTGGAACTGATCTGTTAGTGCCTAGAGACTTTTCTACCTGCCCAGCAACAGGGATTACAGGGTACTTCTTCCACTGTCACTAGTGCAGAGCCTGGAGAACATTAAACTTGCTGAAAGCTTGTATTGGGTGCATTATTTTTTCTCTCTGACCTATTAAAGAAGTAAGGCAAAAATTTAAACCTAGCCTGCCATTAAGAATGAATACCAACCTCAACTGTTTAGGCTATTTATAACTAGTTGGATGGAGAAGACATAAAACCCTGCATAAATATTTCCTACTACATTATGGTGTTTGTTTGGCTCTTGTTTTTTCCAGGTACAGTTTCAGTTGTCTACCTAGTTTTTCTGGTTACAATAAAGGCTGCTCATCTGGGAATACACTTAGAATTCAACTGGTTTACAGAGAATGAATTTTTTGTACCAGGTAAGATAGTTAAAATGCAGTAATGAAGCATATATATTCCTCATTCACCTTTTAACACCTCTGTGACATAAATAAATTGAGGAAATGCTGTCTGATGTTGCATGTAGAGGAAGAATGCCTTGCAATAAAGCAACAAGGAATCTCTTTCCCAAGTGATATTCCTTAACTATGAGACAGTATCAACAGTAGAGGAGGAGTGCCTGTCAGAGGAATCTCCAGCATATATCATGTGACAGGGAGCTTGCCATAGTCCTGTTTCAGCTATAGTATTCTATGTTCTTGCACCAATTTCAGATCATGCCTGTTTCAGTAGCAATTAAAAATGACAAACTGTAGATAGACTGGCTGAAAAAGGTGCTTTAAGTTCCTCACACACTGTCTTGCTTAAATGAAATAGCTCATTCACTGTAATTTGCAAGTACAGTTTTCCTGTACTTCCCAATCTGTCTCAAGTTTTAGGCCATAATCTTAGCTCTTCTCTTTCAAACACCCATTAGCTCTCCATTATGTTTTTCTGGAGTGTTGTTTGTTGGCTGTTTGATCCCTCCAGGTTACCATTCAGAATTACTCTGTGAGATGTCACAGTCACAAACAAGTGCCATTTAGTATTGCATGAACAGATAGTCTAAAAAGATTAGTTTCTTGTTTTAAGAGGTCTGGAATAAGAGATCTGGGATTTGGTCTTAGTTGGCTTTTCCCCATTCCTTATAGTAGGCAAAATTGTATGATCAGTTAGCTCTAGGGAGCTGTGTCCTGGACTGTTGAATATGATCACTCCTTCTGTCCTTAGAAACAGCAGTATTTTGTCCTTCTTTAGAAGTTACTTATTTACTTAAGAGGAGATATACACCTTCTTAGGGTTTCTGTTGTGGGTTTGCACATTTTTAGTTTCACATTCACAGTAAACATTGTACTAAGGCTTAGACATGGGTTGCAAACTATTGCTAGGTCCTATAAGGTAGACTTGGAGAAAACAAGGATAACGTTAAAACATTCAGATGGGTTTTGAGTTACTGTAACAAGATAGAAATCGAAAAAAGGAACATCAGAGTTGTTCCTGATTTCTAATGGAGTCTGTTCTAATTAGTGGAATTATAGTAACAAGTCAGTGAGTAAAATACAGATAGTTGAGTAAAGTTAAAAGTGATGTGAAATTCAACTGATTTAAGTGTTTGCAGATCACAGTTGCAGTGTTCTTGCACCTACTTACTCTTTGTCTTCCCCTACCACTCTGTTTGGGTTGATTCAGCTCTCTAGTTAAAATGAAATTGCCTGGCACAAAAATAAGTAGAATAAGCAACTACTGTATTCCATGTATGCTTGGCAAAAGAGAACTGCTTAAAAAAATTAGTATTCCACTTCTCCACCCTCCAGCCCTTAGTTGTCATCAAATCTGTTTGTTCATTTTTCTGTGACTGTTGAAGGTCATTCCTTCTTCGTCTCAGCCAGGAATTCAGAACTCTATTTCAACATCTGAATGCCAAAAAACAAGTGAAAGGCTATGTAAAACAGTTTCTTTAGCTTGGTCACATCACCAGGGGAAAAAAATTATTCTCCTTTCCATCTGAGTCTTCAAAGCTAGGCAGTTTTTGTGAGTATGACTGTGTACAAGAACAAAACAGGTGCTTTGAGGATGAACTGGATTATCTCCATAATTACTTGAGAATCCCCTTGTCTACTGCAGCGTAAGTACAAACTTAAAGATAGATGTACATAGTTCTGAAACAGTGCTATTTATGCTATCCGTCTTCCTCCCATCACTGCATTTATTTTTAACAAGATGCTTTTGTCTCCAGTGTAAAAATTTGGTTTTCAAAGCACTGCATGATTAGCATCTGTGTTAATGACTTGATTTGTTTTGTATGGCATTATTCTTAGTGCTGTCAGTAGAATTGATACTTGAGCATGTGTTGCACAGTAGATAGACCGCAATGTTTAGTCTTGCACCATTGTGAGCATGGAATCATGTTTTGAACCTGAACTGCCCCAGTAGACAGTCTTCAAATGCTCACGTGGCCTTGTATCTATGGACTCTTCCTGAGAGTGCAGGAGACAATATGCCCAGGCTGTGGTTCACTAGCAAAGCCACATAAACCAGAAATCAGTCTAAGAAAGAAATCAGGTTTTAAGCCTCTTGAAGTTCATATCCAAGATCTGTTAAGCAGTACTAGTGTACAATGAGTTACAGCATGACACGTGTGCCACAGGTCTACTGAGAAGTACAGCACCCAGTAGTTTGACTATTTTGGCAATGTGACTAGTACTGCTAGGAGATAAACAAAGCATGTAGCTAATGCATACAAATCCAGATACTACTGATTGGTGTAGTGATGGGGAAATGCAGTGCTGAAAGAGCTTCTGAGTCTGTCAGTTTGCTTTTTATTATTGAGATTAAAGTAGTGGATGGAAAACAACCCAGAAGTCACTTGCAATTAGTTCTATCAGTAGCGCGTCATGCTAGTTGGGTAGTGAAGATACAGTGAATCCAGCCCTAGGGAAAGCATATTCTTTCAGCTTGGATGAGCCCTCCATTAGTTGCCTGGGGTGTGTTTACCTTCCTGACTTCATAGCACTTTACAGAAACCTGGTTTAAATATGTTTGCATGGAGCACTCTGTGGTTTGATCTGTAAGGGTGTGCAAACCTCTGGTAAGTGTTCTGCTATACTGCTGGATACTTTCAAGAAGCTGAGCTGTCTCAAGGATCTCTAATTGCTGTTAATACTCTGAAGAGTGTATACATTCTTATGTAATACCAAGTAATGTGCTTCAATGATGTTACACATTGGTGAAGTCCTAGACCATTTGCAGCACTTCCAGAATCACCATCTTTTGAACATGATCCTTTGAGTATTAAAAGAAACAGAGCAAAGCTATTCCCATGGACAAAAAAAAAATTTTGTAATATATGCTGTGAAGCATGGTAAGACAAGAAGCTGCTCTGCCTTTCTTTATGCCCTGGTTTGTAAGCAGAACCTCTTAAACATCTACAGATATAATTTTTCCTCTGATAGCATAAGTGACTTCTTAACAACTAAAGACACAGGACAAATGATTCCTTACCCCTGTCTCCCTGGTCAGGAACCAATAGGTACACAGCGTAACTATGCTCAATTCCAGTCTAAAAAATCCTTTCCAGTTAAACTGTTGAGAAGCAGAAAAGCTTGTATGTGTAAATCCTAGATTAACCTAATAATCATTGATGGTTGGTGTCTATTGGAGAAGCCTTGCTGAAAAGCGTGTTATATAGGAATCACTGTCTTCATGCATTTTGTACTTCCTGATTAAATATTTGCGTTGGCTATAGTCCATGATAAGATGGAGTGTCCCATTTCAAAGTGGAGGTTCATGTTTCTACCAGTATGCTCCATAGCAGTATATGTCCTCTGCATTTTGGTATTGTTTGTTTCAAAGAAGTAACTTATTATCACTTTTTTTCGCCTCTTTTAGAGTTTAGAATTCTGTTCCCTCAGCTCACAGGGGTTCTTACACTTGCCTTCTTCATCCACAATTGTGTCATCACACTTCTTCAGAATAACAGGAATCAAGAAAACAATGTAAGTAATTTCACAAGACTGTGCTGATTTGTATCTAGATTTCCAGGCAACAGTAATTTTTTTCCTATCTGACTCTTGAAATCAATCCAGAGACTGTAATAGCTTCAGAAAATGTAACTCATTGTTGTTATTTGATCAGAAAAAGGTTATACATTCTTTTCTTGGCTACCAGGGAATAACAGATGCATTACAAATTTATTCAAATGAAGTCCTTGAGGAACATCCCAAACTTACTTGTGGTCAAGCTGGTATTAAATGGCCAAATTGCACACAAGAGGCAGAAGACTTGACAATGTTGAAAGACTCAAGAAAAACTGACCAATTGAAGAATGAAAAATGCTGGAGAGTATTGGGCACAGGACTGATTTTAGCAGAGTCCTAAACAATAGTTTTAGCATCTAGATAGTAGCTTTTCTTACGGTTGCTTCAGTAGTTTTGTGTCTTAATCCAAGTCAAGGTCCACAGAGAAATCTAACACAATTTAGGAAATTGTCAAAGTTTAAGCCTGGATTGGGAACCTCTGTGATATGTAGTCTTTGGACTGGACCTTTTCCCTTGAAAGAGTTATGCAATGCTCATCCAGCACATCCAGCTGAATCTGTGATCTTTCCTAATCTTCCCACTATAAAATACAAAATAGAGTAAACACAATACGCAGTTAGAGTCTGAGAGTACACTTTTACTGTAACTGCTTTGATTATTTAATTTTTTCCTCCCTACTTTACAGGGGTCTTGTCCAGCCTCATTAAAATCTTAGCTGTAAAAGTAACTACAATAATGTACAAAGAATTTAAAATAATAGCTGGTACAAAATCATAGAATCCCAGAATGCTTTAGGTTGGAAGGGACCTCTGGATGTCATCTTGTCACCCTACTCAAGCAGGGCTACTGGGAGCCAGTTGCCTACACAACACATCAGATAAAATATATCTGGTTTGATTAGTTATAGGTGAAATGCAGATTTTGTGCCAATGCACTGAGATGACCTTTTGCTTTAGTAACCCGCGTAGTCACTTTTTTGTGCTTGTGAACTAAGACCAGCTTGCAAATTACCATTTCTGTTAAGGAGTCGTGAATTCTCCTCCAGGAAAGCTGCTTGAGGTTTATGGACTTCTCTCAAAATAGTTTAACAACTAAAGAGGGAGTTAGTGGAGCTCTGGAGAAAGAAAGCTTAAGTAAGCTTTTTCTCAATTTCCTGAAGAAAATCTTTTGGTGTGAGAAAGGGCAAGATTTCTCTTTAGCTGTGGCTTTCAAATTCTAAAGGCTTGATTTCCAACAATCAGCTCTGTATGCAGAGGAGGCCTAATGCCCTCCTGCCCTCTTAAGGATTTTCCTGTGGATTTTCCCCCTCTATTTACATTAGAGCAAGCAATCAGCTGCAAAGAGCAGCACCTGGAGTCTTCTCCAGCTTGCTTTTTCTGTGTTAAGGAGGAAGAAACTGCTGCCTTCCTGCATTTGAATCAGCTTTTCCAATGCCCTCCCTGGAGCTTAAATTGAATTTCCAAGTCATGGATCCCAAGCCCATGACGGTATTCTTGCATTCCAGAAGAAAGTTCAAATTACACGGAAAGGACACCTTGAAATATGACAGCAAAGATTTTTAATGGGAAATCAGAGTTCTTGTAAGAGTTTTATTTGGCTGGAGATTTCTTTCCCTGTTTGTGGGTGTACAGGAGCCTTTCACCTAGGTCTCAGAAGTGCTTTGCAAATGTTAATGATGCATCTATGCTCTTGAAGAGCTGTTTTGTGATTATGTCACTAAGCTGCTGGATTAAGTGGGAGATTTACATATGTATAGGGCTCTCAGCCTCTGTCATAAGTCAGGGGGTTTTCTTCTATCTATTTATGACACCAAGCTGCATTATTCTGTCGGTATCTCATGGGCAGATACTGATTCAACTCTGAATAAAAACTCTACTATTTTATGGATTGACCTGTTAACATGTCATTTTCTTCAGAGTTCTGTGAAAGGGCACAGAACGTGGCAAGCTAGAAAAACACCATTTTAGTTTGGAAGAGAACTTGCTGAAACTAGTGGTCATAGAACAACTCTCTGGGGAGGTGGAAAAAAATAAAAGAAACAATAACATTCCTTTTATGGAGTTAGAAATTCAAAACAATAGCTGCTTCCATTCTAGTCACAAGCATGTATCACAGCCCAAAGCTAAAACACTCATGGGGGAGGATTCCTCTGACTGCTATTCTGGTACAGTGGTGTGGGTGTGAGAAGAGCAGTGAGTTGGAGTAAGCCAAGCGTCAGCAGGACATCCTGGAGAAGCCCTGTGAGCAGGTTTCTTAGTCTGCAGTTCCAAGCTGGGCTTCCTGTTCACATCTCCTCCTGCTAGCTCCTTGTATTTATCAGTGTGTTTCTACAGTGCCCAGTCAACTGGTTTGAAAACTGATTGCATAAAAATCTAACCCAGCCACAGAAAGGGGTTTAGTTGGGGGTTTTGTTTGTTGAGTTTTCTTCTGATTCATGTCTGGGATCTGTTTCTCTTGAGCAACTGTACAGATGCTGCACAAGCCCAGAGCATGATCTACAGGCATGAACATGCTAGTGCTGTCTTCTAACAGTTGTTTGTGAATATAGCTGGGAGAAAGGCTGGGAACGAGGAGATGTTTTTTGTCCAGATAGTAACTGCAGAAGGCGTGGAGCCGTAAATGATTGTTATTTTCTGTATCGAAACACTGTTTATTGCTTGTAAACAGAGTGAGCTTCCATTTATGGTGACCTACCATTGGTTTTTCCTTCCAGTCAAAATTATGCACAGCGTTATCCATCCTGGTGAAGTACTTTTTTGTCACCCATTTAAATGTTGTCATTTGCCCTTGATGCTTCAACAGGCAAAGTCTGTTTTTATGATATGGATCAAAGTCCTGTTGTGATATTACAGAAACAGTGTCTCTCTTGAGAAGCGACCAGTCTGAAATGGGATGATCAAAAGGTACTGCGAATATGGTAATAATTACTAAGCACTGATACAGGCTTCTTCATCCAAGAAGCAACTCCCCAAACTAGCTTTTACTAGGTTCTGAGTGAACTGTTTTCTCTTTGGGATACAACGGGCAAAACAAGGCCTGGAAGTTGCCTGTTCTTTGTGGCATCACAGAGGAAATACCTGTAGAGCCACAGAGCCTTCATGGGCTGTGTCCAATCCTGTGCCACAGGCCTGGCCAGCACCTGAGTACTGACTAGTCTGTTGGGAGGATACAATGTTTTGTACTTTCAGAGTTTGTTTATTTTCAGCTCCACCTGATTCATCAGGCTCATGCTTTTGTTAGGAGGCTGATTTCTCCCTTTGTTCTGTTGCTGCTGCCGGCCTTGGTCACCCAGTTTTCAGTTCTTCCAGTGGCACTTTTTTTGCTCTATGCATTCGACCACAAAAGCTCCTGGTCAGCAGTAACTGCAGCTAATATATGTTGTCCAGGTTCCACCTCAAAATCTGCCTGTTACTTCAGGTGCACTTGATAAAGGCTTGACAGTTGTCAGGCTGTGATCCTTATGGACTCTGTCTTGCATGTTACCTTTGATATTTCCCTTCCGATCTCATTCCCCCAATACTTCCTTTTTCCAACCACTGTTTTTTTCTACATTTGATTCTTAAATTCTGGGTATGAGGATTGCAGCATTCTCATGCTAGGGCAGCTTTCACCGCAGCGATGTCCATTCTGAATATAAATGTCTCAAGTATCAAATTTTAAATAGAAAAATGCAATTAATGCTCTCACTTAAAATCAATCCTTTTATCTCTCCCTATATGTCCTTTGGTTTTATCTAGAATTGTGCTGTCTGAACTTTATTGTCAAGGTCATTAGGGAGTGAACCCAGCTCTCTTGAGGAGTAATGAACATTAATCAAAAGATGTTCCTGTTATATACACAAACACACATTCTTGTATAAAGATAACCATCTCATATATAGAGGCATATGTTTGCAAGGGAACTGATGGATAAGTTCAGGTTTTTGAGTTGTCTATATTTCTTTTTTTGTAGCTTATGGAAACCAAAATCTGGGTACTCTTTGTATGGTGACAACACCTGAAGAAAACAGTCTATTGTGTTACATGCTATAAAAATACATTATCAAAATTATCTCAGCACTTAGTTTCAGTACAGATTAAAGCATATACCCTTAAGAACTCTAAAAACATGAACTGGTTAGTATAATTGGAGTTAATAATGCACCAGCTATCTACCTTTATTTATGTGAAAGCTAAAGAAAGCATTAAGAATTTTATTTTGGATTTCTTGCCCTCACAACTGCATGTACTTGTCACAGCAAAAATAGTTGTACAGTTGGTTCTAGAACTTATATGTAAGGACAGTACAAAGAAAAACTGAGTTACTATGCTGTTTTTATGCATGAGGAATACATTTAAAATACCAAATTTAAAGCCGGTCTTGGCAGATGATGTGCATTAAGGTCTTGAGTGCATTTTGAACAATTGTCCAAGTCCTGTCTTCAAGAAATGAGAGTCCATATCTTTCTGCAAAACTGTGATTAGTCTCTGACGTGTGCAGTTAATGGAAGCTGCTGATAAATACCTGTAAGAAATCTGGATGCTCAGATTTAGTATTTATAAAATCAGTTTTTAGAGTGGGCACTGATGCTTTTGAAGATGTGGTTGTTGTATAAAAACCTGTACAGCTTCTCATGTCACTGAGGAGAAATTCTACAAATAATTTAAAGAAAATGTTATTGCTCAGCTTCTGATGGGAGTTGATAGTCCTTTACTCAGTGACTAGTGTGAGGGGAGTGAAGATCAGGGAAGCATCTTCTGTATTCATTTAACTGGTTGGCAGGAGGGAGAGGTTGCAGCTAGAAACGTGGTGCAGCTGCTGGGGGCTTGAAGGCTACCCCAGGGCACACGTTCATAGCACGTTGATGCCTTTTTCCTATGAGCTTTTAAAAGGCAAATAATATTTCTCATAAGGCAACAAACTTCTACCACAAAAGTGCTGGCAAAATGAGCAGGAGAGTCCAGTTCCCTCACTAAAACTGGCTTCTATCTGAAAAGATTTTTAATCTAGCGTTTTATACTTTTCTCAGGAACTGCCTTGGCCTTGGAAGAACCCAGAGCAGTATAAAATATGCTTCTTTAGTCAACAAGATAGTGTGAAGAAGCACCAAGGGAAACATTTCCATGCACAGATGTGAGCAAACTTTGCTCATACTCAGTGAGCTGACTGGATTATCATAATTGTCATCCTGGGCTGGAAACAGTATAATCCTAATAATTTGGTCCTGTGCCTAGCTCGTAAGACTTGCTTCTCAGTCTTAGGAAAATAGTGTCACATGTTGAAACATTACTAGTTTCAGAAGCTGATTATGAGCTGAACAAATGCTTTGCTGTAAGGTGATGAGTGTTTTGTAATATACATAAGCCTATACAGAATATAGTTAGTTAATAACAAATGGTCTTCTTAATTTCCAAGAGCAGGAATTCGTGTAGAACAGTAGCCCACCGAGTACATTACTGTGAGGTCACTCTGATGTATATGTGGATTCTGAAGTTTTGTGAAGTACTTGAGTAGCTTTGCTGCTAATTTTTTAGTTCTTTTTGTGTAGTTGAAAATATTTGTGTATATTAGATATTTTATAAATATAGCCAAAATTTTCAGAACTGTACATTGAAGTTTAGATTTAAATCTATACTTAAGTATATGTAATATATTTAAATATGGATATATGACCCTAGTTTCAGCACTGACTCCTGAAAACTTTTGATTATAATTTAGTGCATTTCCCTGGGACATTTAAAGCTGTTTAGTAATAAAGTGTAGGTAGCTAGGATATAGCATAGGTAATTTTAAATGAAAGTGTCATTATAAAATACAATACTAAAGGTAAAGGACATGTATATGACTACCTATATATATACATATATATATATATATATGACATATATGTGACTACCTATACTTTTCTTTTTTGTGTTCTGTTTGTATTTTTTTATGTAATGGTGTACTAGCTATGTCTTCCATTATTATGCCATTCATACAGAAGCCTAATGTATTAGATTCTGGTTTGGAGACAGTGTACCATCCTCTTAGGTTCCAAAGCACCTTCTTAAAAAATGTCCCTTACATTATATCAGCAGTTGGGTAGCTGATGCCTTTGATTGCAAGATATTATTTGTGATAAGAAATTTGACTTATGGCATTGCTGGGCTTTCTGTCTTAGACAAGTGTGTCTGTGTCCCAGGGCTCGTAGCAGGAATAGGTGAATGTAAGAAAGTAGAGGGTGTTTCTTGTTTGTTTTAATAACTAGTGTATGTTTGGGCATCCAGCAATAACATGCTACATCTATTGGCATATCTCTTTCATGGTACCTTTTCAGTATTTTAAGAGATAAATAATAATTGTTGAGCTTCACTTTGGTATATCTCCTTGCAGCTTTCGGATCTGACTGGGACCATTTAATCTACTGATTTAAGCAGTAGAAAGTAAAAATGTTTAAGTAATAGTAATAAATATAAAAAAGTAATATATATAAAAGGAGCAATAACAAAGGCAATAGACATATTCTCATGAAGTTTTTATTTCTTATGGGTTTGTGTGTCAGTGCTTGCCAAAATAAAATCTTGGTTTTCCTCAGGTGAGAGATCTCTCTATTGCATACTTCCTGGTGGGACTAACATACCTGTATGTTGGAGTGATTATTTTTGCATCCTTTCCTTCTCCACCGTTATCCAAAGAATGTATTGAACAGGTGAGATATTTTACTGCTGTATCTGTTTCACAGAATTACAGAATGGGTCAGGTTGGAAAGGACCACAGAGGGTCATCTGGTCCTATCTCCCTGCTTAAGCAGGGTTATCCTGAAGTACATGGCACAGGATTGCATCCAGATGGTTCCTGAATATCTCCAGTGAGGGAGAGTCCACAACCTCTCTGGGCAACCTGTTGCGGTGTACCGTTACCTGCACAGCAAAGAAATTCTTTCTCATGTACAGATGGAACTTCCTGTGCATCAGTTTCTTCCCATTGCCTCTTGTCCTATTGCTTGGCACCACTGGGAAGAGCCTGGTTCCATCCTCTTGACACCCTCCGTTCAAATACTTATATATATTGATAAGGTCCAATGAGAATAGGCCCAACTCTCCCTCAGCCTTTCTTCATAAGAGGAGCTCCAGTCCCTTTATCATCTTCGTTGCCCTCCACAGGACCTGCTCCAGGAGCTCCATATCTCTCTTTTACTGAGGAGCCCAGAAATGGGCACAGCACTCCAGATATCGCCTCACTGGGGCTAAGTAGAGGGGAAGGATCAGCTCCCTTGACCTGCTGGCAATGCTCTTCCTAATGCACTCCAGAATACCATGTTTGTCCTTAACTTTTTAATAAATATATAATAAGAAAGGAACAGCTACTGCTTCTTGCTTCATGACCGAACTCTGGCAGACACATCTGCCCTTGACTGTGGTCAGGTGGCTAACACCTCGTGGGCACTACCACAAGCAGATGAGTAATGCTTGTATTATCTCATTTATATTTATGTATGGTTGCCAATATTTCTGAAAAAAACAAACATTTTATAAATACTCTGTGAAAGTGATGAAGAAAGGACCAAAATGAAAAAGTGAACAGCTGAGACTTTAATTTTTTTAGCTTCATTAATCCTGAAAAGTTTATGTTTAGTTGTGTGTGCAGTGACCAATCCCACTCATTGGGACTCTGGAAGAAACAAAATGTGAATGCAAGCTTGAGTAGATTTGGAGTTTAATACTATGGTGAACCTTGCCATCAGAGTTCTTCAGATAACAGCACCACATGAAACACCCTATGAAGGCTATTAAATTCTTATCTGCTTATAGGCAAGCCTGATTTCCACACCCTAAATTGCTTCAGAGAGAGAAGTTATCAGCTGGGGATCCATTTCATGTCAGGTGTTCCATGTCTCTTGCATAATATCTAGCAATAAGTCAAAGGCTTCCTCTGACTGTAAATCAGTTAGAACTGGTACCACTGTTAAACCATGACATGATTTTTTGAACCATCTGAACTAGCTTCACAGAATGAAGTTCACCATTAGACGACAAATTATTTTCTTCCCATTTATTTTCTTTAGTTTATGAAGCCATTTGTGTATTTCTATGATACTTAAGTCTTATAATACTTTTTCAGCTGTTCCTACTTGTAGTATATGATCCCTTCCTCATTTGTATATGGTGCAGTTTTGCTTAATAAATAACTGTTTTTAAAAACTATGTATGATATGACAGGTAATAGGAGCATATGAATCTATCTACCTAAAAATCTATCTATCTATCTAAAAGGTCAGCTGGCCCTTCCACAGCCTGGATTATTTGAGGATATTCAGAAGATTAGAAAATAATTCCTTATGTAATACTAATATTAACACTGACACCAGCATAGTAATATTCAAAAATCCGTTGATATTTGGTGGCAAACCAGTCATAAAAGAGGGAGAAGGTATTTCATGTTATGGAGTTCATTTAACAATTGTAGTTGCTTGGATTTTATCCCATTCTTGCTGACATGTAGGTATTAAAATAAGCAGGTACATGCAATCAAGCCACCATTGATAAATGTAACACTATTTATATGTCCAGAATTTTCTAGATAATTTTCCCAGTGATGACATCATGTCATTTGTTGCAAGAATATTCCTGCTGTTCCAGATGATGACTGTATACCCACTGTTGGGCTATCTGGCACGAGTTCAGCTGTTAAGACAGTTTTTTGGAAACGCTTACCCAAGGTAAGAATTCTGTTCCTTGACAAGAGCTTGGCACACTTTGCTTAACTGACTTTCTTTTGGCTAGGCTTTTGGAGAATTCCACTGTACATTAGATACATTTCATAACCTAGTTTCACGCTGTTTGTAGAGTCAGGGTGAATAGGCATGCAAAATAAACTTGCCTGCAAACTCCTACAGCTTGGCAAAGCAGAGTAGGGGATGTTCTTTTCGTTTAGCTCTTCATTTTGTCAGTAAACAGAGGAATTTTGTCAATACAGTCCTTTTGTGTTATGCATTTATATGGCAAAACAGAAGTTGTGCAGGAAAAAAAATTGCTTAGTCCAGAAGCATTTAATCTAGTAGTCTTTAAGTTGTGAAGGACATACACTCTGGATATTAACCTTTCAGCATGGCATCTGTGTTTTGATTGTGCATGATTAGTAATCATCCATCTGTTTTTAAACAGAGCTAATAGCTAAGAGAGTTGTTAGCTGTGCTATCTGGGCTGCTGCTATGCTTATAAAAATAGCTTTTTACATGCTAATTTCAGAGGTGAGCCACACCCCTGCATTTGTACAATCTCTGAACTCCAGGGAAGAGCTGATCCAGATTTCAATTTTAGTTTGTTTTTTAAGTAAAGCCTGGGACATTTATATTTGGACTATCGTGTGAATTTGTCACAGCTGACAAGTTGACATTTATCTCCCAAGTTTCTTATTTTATGTTGTGAAAACTGTTGATTAGGGAAAGGAAAAAAAGGGTTCTCAGGAAGGAGTGTGAATTTCCTCTGTGGTATCAGCAGTAGCATACAAGTCTGCAAAGATGTTGTTCCAAGTTTCACGTTTCTTATGAGTCCTAAAATAGGTATCAGAAGTTTTAGAAATTGAATGCCTAAAATTAGCCAGTGAAATAAGTGCCTGCTTTTTTTGATGCTAAATTGTATACAGTTCAATGTTGAGGAGATTTTTAGGAACTACTACAAGTTACTGTTGGAAACAAGGCCATTTATTTAAGTGCTAAACATGGATTTCACAACCACTGAGAAATAGTCATGTCCTTTATATTATGTGCATGTGCCTCTTCCTATCTCCTCCCTCCAGTTACTCCCTGACCAGAATTGTTTTCATTTCCCTCATGCCCTCTTCTAGAACCTACAGCTTCATTCTTGTCTCTTCTCAGGTTAATTCCAGCTTGCTGTTTTAAGCCTTCATGGTATGATGAATGTGGTGATACAAATACTTCCTTGGTTCTTGTCTCCAGGGTATCTTGTGGGTAGCTTCACTCATTTTTTAAGTTAATTTTTTTTTTAGAGACTCCTTTTAGGGAGGCATTTAGAGCTTCTGAGAAGTCAAAAGTAGTTCCTAGGAAGCCACAGAAATTGCTCTGACCTATAGTGATAAGGTAGCATATTCTGGCTGATTGGCTGTGTCTCCTTCTCTAGTATTCCAGGTGTCTTAAATATAGCACAAAAATCACTCAAATAACCTTCAGACTCTGGCTTCTGTGCATTTACAACAGCCAAGGTCAGCCCTAGTTTTTTTCTATGCAATGAGGGCTAACTGAAGGGTGGTAGCAAACACAGAACATGTTCTGTTTGCTGGTAGCAAACACAGGACATAGGAGGATAGTAAAGGTTTAGTACCTGGTTGTGAAATATGTCTTCATGACTGGTTTTTAGTCATAAGCTGATAAAGGTCCTTTAGTGGCACTGTATCTTTATCACCTCTCTAGGAAAAACTTCAGTATTTTTGGTTTTTTCCCAGAACTGCTTCTGTGGGGAAACATTTTGCAAATACAAAGATGTAGCTTTTAGTGACATAAACTGATGTCTTACTGGGGAACCTGTTGATCCACTCTGAAGAACCTACCTGGAAATATTAAGTTCCATGGCTTTTGTGTAGGAAAATGAGCACTCTACTAGTAGTTTGATAAACTCGGCTTCTTTTGTTGAAATCCTCAATAATTGAGGCTAACAGCTCTTGGGCAGTAAGAAGACTAACTGTGAGACTCATGCTGTAGCTCTTAGGTGGAAGAGAATATTCTAGGTCATGTGTCTAAAGAAGATTTTGGTGTTAGTAGTGAACTAAGAGGATGAAGCAGGAGGAAAAGAGCTGAGGCTCTTTTAAAGCCTCCTTTAACCCTGTGATTCAATGTGCTAAATCACATATCTTTCCATAGGTGCATCTTTCCTATATTGTTTTCTTTGCAGCTAAAAGAAGGTTATAAATTTGCTTTCTGGCTATAATTGTCCAAACAACAACAACAACAAAATTTCACAAAAACACCTCCTGCTTTTGGTCCTTGGTCCAAGTCTCCATTATAAATTTTCCTATCCTCATTTTTAAGCTGTGGGGTGCTCCACATGGAAGCTCACTGATTTTAAAAGTCAGGCTTCTTCATATCAGCAGTTGTTTGCAGATGTGGGTACCTGCTACTATGGATGGAGTTAACAGATAGCCATGAAGGTATTAGCAGGAGCACTTGTAAGGCGGGAGGGATGCATTTTAAAGCTCATAGCTTTTTCACACAATGGTTTACAGGGCTGCCAGATAGTTTTTATTTCCTAGTAGTGATTGTGTTGGTCAGATCCATTTCATTCTTTGGGTTTTACTCCTTTTTCTTTAATATTTTCTGACACTGGTTATAATGAAGCACCAAGATATTAGTTTCTGTCTTGCAGTTCATAGTTTTGATAATTGGTATAACCCAAGGCAAATTCTACCAAATCCTAGTTCATAACCCGTTCTTTGCTGATAGGCCATGGATTATAATTGGATTATAATGAGAAACTATTTACTCATCTTCAGAGGAGCTTTTACAGTCTGAAGACTGATTTGCATCTCTTCTGTCCCATGATTTTTAGATATTTTGTAGTCCTATGCTGTGTATGTCTATAGTGTATCCTAACCCATAGTCTTGAGTGATGAAGCAACTCGCATTCTCGAAACTTAAAAGCTTAAGTAGACAATAAATAACTTTTTCTTCTCACAAGTTTCACATTAAGCATCAGCTGAACAATGGGAACTTGCTTGTCTGAAGCATAAGGGTAATGAGTATCCTGTGTCTTCCAGCAGTCAGGAATACAGTGAAAGTGCCTCTGATTCTACGAAGGAGGATTCTCTTGCCCTTATGTATCAATGTCAGTCACCTGTGTCTCTGCCTATCTTAAAAGCAAGTACATGTGTAGACATGCTGCACACAGTAGTCTTCAGACAGGTATCATCACATATAATCGTAGAATGATTTGGATTGGAAAGGACTTTAAAGACCATCTCGTTCCAATCCTTCTGCCATGGGCAGAAACACTTTTCACTAGACCAGGTTGCTCAGAGCCCTGTCCAGCTTGGCCTTGAACAGTTCCAGAGATGGAACATCCACAACTGCTCTGGGCAACCTTTGAACCCATTACTCCTTGTCCTATCACTATAGTTCCTGAAGAAAAGCCCCTCTCTGGCTTCCTCTTCAGATACTAGAATGTTGCTATGAGGTCTCCACGCAACCTTCTCTTCTCCAGGCTGAACAGGCCCAACTTTCTCAGCCTGTCTTAGTAGAGGAGTTGCTCTAGTCCTCTTATCAACTTCATGGCCCTCCTCTGGACTTGCTCCAACAGTTAGGTCTCTTTCTTATGTTGTGGCCACTAGAACTGTATGCAGCACTCCAGGTGGGGTCTCACAAGAGCAGAGTAGAGGGATAGAATCACCACCCTCAACCTGCTGGCCACACTGCTTTTGATGCAGCCCAGGATTTCTGGGCTGTGAGCACACATTGCCAGCTCATGTTGAGTTTTACATCAACCATCACCCCCAAGTCCTTCTCCACAGGGCTGCTCTCAATCACTTCTCCACTCAACCTGTAGTTGTGCCTGGGATTACCCTGACCCACGTGTAGGACCTTGCACTTTGCTTTGTAGAACTTCATGAGGTTTGCATTGGTCCAACATGTCAAGGTCCTTCCTGATGGCATCCCTTCCCTCCAGCTTGTTTACTGCTCCACACAGCTTGGTGCCGAGGGTGCACTTGATGTCACTGAGCGTTCAGCTTTTCTCTGCTTACTACAAAAGATTTAAAAACAAGAGAAGACATCTTAATTCCTTCTTTCATTTTGCAAAATATGTGCTAGTGTACAGATTACAACATAGTGATGTACTGGGACAAAACCCAAGGAACTTTTCATTCTCTCTGCTCTCCCTGGTGATGTAAAGGAAGGCCAAAATATTGTGTATTTGGAAATTACTTTCTTTTCTAAAGTGGGATATGTTTGTAATGGCATCACTTAACAGCTGACTTAGAGCCAGAGGCGTGTACTTTGTCTGCTATTTCTTACGTGACTCTGGATCTTCTTATATGTACAGAAAGCCAATTTTTTTATTATTGTTTCTGGCTCTTGGCTGCACTGATACTTGTGACAGAGATTCCCTTGATTAATTATATGCTGTATATAAAATGCTTTTTACAGCCATCTGATAACTTTTTGAAACTTTTTATCATCTTTCCTGTCCTGAGAGGTTAAATTAGCTGATGGAAAAAAATCACTTTGCTTTTTCTAATGATTGTCCTCCCTTTACTCCATGGTAGCCCAGCAGACCTACCAGTTCTCCCACAGATATATGTCTTCTGATGGAATGAAATACATTTCTGCTGTTTCCATGTATGATTGCTTATCTGCTCTTCACCTGGCTGCTGTCTTGCTTCTTGGCGGTTGTGATTCATAGTCTTTTGACCAATGTCACTTGAGCGAGATTTCCATGAAGAAAATGCATTTTTAGATACAGTAACCTTTCAAAAATTCTTACTTAAATGACCCTGATTTGCTTTTTCTTTGCTTTCCAGTTTCCCTTGTTGTGTCTGTTCACCTTGTGACTCCACGCTGAGTCCAGCACTTCTGCTAATTTCCTTACATCTGACCTGAGGGGATTTAAAATCAATTTCTTTCTTTAAATTTCTCCTGCACATTTGTCATGATTCTTACTTTGAGGATGCCAGAATTACTTAGATATTTATGGTCACTGCTATTCAGTGACTTAAGTGTAACTGCCAGTTCCACAGGAGACAACTTGATGGAGCAAATCCTGTAACGATCTTCAGGCATTGTTGTTTCTCTGCTCTGTCAGTCTGAAATGTTAACCTTGCAATGTGGAAAAAAAGGAGAAAGCTTGAATTTTTTTAAATCTTTATTTTTTTCCTCCATTTTTGTGGGATTGCAGGATTTTTGCAGGTGAGCAGTGATTCCCTTTATAATAAAGAACTAGAGCCTTCCTCTGTCTAACCCAGAATATTGAGACTGAGGACAGAATATGAAAGACTTGCCATGGGTGTGCCTCCTGTGTGAATTAACAGCCTCCTTCAGACAACCCATCCTGTGCCTCAGAGCAGCAGCCCTAACCAGGCTGCCAAGGTGGACAGTCCAGCCTTGGAATGGGACGCCCAACTCTGCTGCCATGGACCATGAGGAAGAAAGTTACACTGCTTAGAAAACAGTTGTATGGTAGCAGGGTAGTAGATAAAAATGGGGCAAATCTTTTGTGATCTCCGACATCATCTAAATACTTTTCTTCTTACTGTTAGAATAAGCAGAGGTGGTATGGTGATGCCCCCCAAAAACGCTGTTTTTCTGACATCATTTTGCAACGTGTGGCGACCATTAGTTGTACTGTAAGCCAGTGTCAGGCTAAACCTGAGCAATTTAGAACTTGCTAAAATGTCACAGGCTATGAGAAATGTTTGTCCTGTCTGGAATACACCTATGTGAAACTTTACAGTCTTATGAAAAGTACTATATCAAATAATACAGCTACTAGTAGCCCTAGATATCAGATTTTACTTTATTCAGAAGGATAGAGCTTTTTTCTAAATGGTATTGTCTTTCTCTCCACAAGAATGAGGCTTTTTCCTGTCCTGGAGATGAGATGAGCTACGAATATCTGCCTAGGTAAAAGAAAGAGTTTGCAGGTTAAATATCTGTTGTCCAATAATATAGTTACAGCTCAGGCCATTTCAAAAGGTAGAATATGGAGCAAGGATGTTTTGGGAAAAAAATGCAGTGTAGTCTTTTGCATTGAAAGCAGACCTTCTGCTTTGGTATTGTTCTTGAGGATCCTGCTTAATTGTAACAATTAAAACTGGAAAGCAGTACTCCACAAGAGTTGCTTTGGAGGCTCCAACATCTTGGGACCCTTGTTTTCAATAGAGCCAAAACACTCTGTCCCCCTGCAACCCAATAATTTTTTCCCAGAACAAGAAATTGAAAAATGTTTCATTTCAAACAGACATACACACACACCCCCTTTGCTTTTGAGGTTATAAGAATCTGGAATTAATTTTTTTAGAAGCAACAGCTTCAAACAACAAAATCATGTCTTGTGTTTTAAAGCATGCCAGAATGAAATATTTTGGAATTTTTTCAGGTTTTCTGCTAAAATACTCTGAGCTGACACAAATTTGCAAAACATTTTTGAATTACTAAGCCTGCACTCTTTTTAGTCCCTCTTGCTAAAAAAATAATTGCAGTAAAAATGGAATGGAAGAAGTGCTGTCATTTTCATAAACTTTTGGCTTCAATTTGTGCTATTTGACAGTAAGATTTGCAAGCTGCTGTACGTGCGAGGAGAGAGGAAGTAGTTTTTAATGGCAGAGACGTTTTTGTGAACAGTTTAGTTAATTGGCTTTCCTTAGTAATATTAGAGAAACTGTACACATTTGGTCCTTCTGTCCTTAATAAATCTGATTCTTGGGATTTTATTTTTTATTTGTAGGGTTTTACCAAGTTTATATCCAATTCCATTTTTGTTAAACTTTCATCTGCTGTATTCCCACTGCAGTCTTGAGTTCTCCTCAAGGTACACCTCTTGTACCGCTGTTAAAAAATTAAAGGTATTATTTCTGTCTTTTAGAAATCAGTTTTTAAGAGTGAAGTTTAGAAATAGTCTATAGCTTAAACTATTCCTTTGTGGTTTAATTACCTTCATTCCCCTAAACTTTAATGAGACTACTCCGTGTCTCTAAACTTTCTTCCTAACTTGGAAACTGGCAGGCAGCCTTTCAGCCATGGAAGTTGTCACTTTTAAAAAGTTTTTTAGTTAGTGACATCCTCCATAATACACATACTTTCTACAGTGAAGAAAAAAATAGCCCTGGCTTACAGATTTTGTATTTTAGGAAATCATATCCTCCAGAAGAATAAACAAAACCTGTAAGTGTATGTATGTTTCCTCTGTGTGAATTCTTTTTTCCTTTCATAGAAACAGCTGTGTGACCAAAATACCACAGGTTTTAATTATATTTTCTGATCTTACCTTATGTTAAAATATGCCAACATTTCATGTTCTCAAAAGTGATACTCTCTTGAGTCTCAGCTCTGTGCCTAACTACACTGAATTTGTCTGATGCATTATAAGCTGCTTTGCAGAACAGAAAATCTCCATTTTTTCATCCTTAATGTGAAAGGAAAGCAACAGGAAAATGATTTTTAAAAACAAATTCAACAAAAAATTCCAACATAAATAGGACACAGGTTATATACTAAATGGCATCCATCATTCTCCTTAAAGGTTTGTCCTCTATCAAAATGCAGTAGAGTGTTTTAAGGTGTTATTTCCCTGCTAGTAGTCTATGTAATGTTTTCCACTTGATGCATCTTTTCCTTTCTTCTGGTTTCCGTTAGTCCACTTTAAGTAGTTCTGATTATTCTCTGAACAAGGTAATGCTTTCTTGTGGGAATTAAGTTATATGATATTGTTTCTTGGGTATTTGAATATCCATCTGAAATACTTGGGTGCTGAATACCACGTATGGCTTTTTTCAGAAGAATTGCCAAATTATGCATTCTTACTCCTTAAGAATATTTTGAGTCAAAACAGTAGATATTTAAAAATTGGCACTGATTATTCAGTAGATGATATGTTTGCTGTGAAATTAATTAGATTTAATAGGGTGAGTCATGCAAATGGAAACACCATCCATGTACCAGTTAAATGTTAGTGAAAATGAAGGATAATTGGTAGTATTTGGTAAGAAATACAGCATAGATTTTAACATTGTTTCTTCACTTTCCTGAAGCCTTTTCCATGTGCTCGCCCTGAACCTTGCAATTGTAGGAGCTGGAGTAGCAATGGCAAGATTTTACCCAAATATAGGAGGTATCATAAGGTGAGTGTTGCTTGCAGGGAGCTTCCCTGTGGCATTGCTACATGTTTGCCTCTTGATGTTGAAAAGGAACAGTAATAATTGAATCTTCATATTTCGTGAGTTTTACACCTTCTTACGTTATAAATAATGACTTCTATAAACAATCAGCTCTTTCAGAGTTCTGCCAAGCAGCCATCTGTAATTGTGCCTCTGTATCTGAGGTTGTTGGGATGATTCTCCAATTTTATTGAAGCTCTGTCTGAGGGCTTTGTAACTATACACATAAAAGAATATGGTGTTAGTAGAAAAGTTGGTTGGTTATTGTGTATCTTCTCTCAAGTTTTTGTTTTGTGTTAAGACCATTTGAAGCTGGTTTGAAAGTCCACAATAAAAATTCCAAGAAAGTAAGTAACTTTAAAGGGAAAAGTGACATAAAAGTTGTGTTTCTGAATGATATCTTAAATTTACTATGTCGATGAACACCTAGGATTTCTATAATTGGGAAATATTAGCGGAAATAATCTTTAAAAGTTTTTTTTTCTACATATGACATCACTGTATTTATAAGCATCATCATTCATTCCTGGTTTGCATCTTTCCTACAGCAACCAGGAGAGGGAGGTGTTTAAAAATATAGAAATCTGCAATTATAAAACCAGAATGACAGGCTTGGGTCTGACCAGAGTAGCAAAATAACTTACTTTTGCTCAGTGGCTGATCTTTTTGGGTTTTTCCCATTTCCTTTTTTTCTTCTACCTCTCTTTTTAGTGAAAATTTTTGTATTCCAGTAATAGAGATGGTCTAGTTAATCATCATCATATAATCATAGAATGATAGAATAGACCTTAAGGTTGGAAGGAATCTAAAAGATCATCTAGTTAGAACCCCTCTGCCATGGGCAGGAACACATACCACTAGACCAGGTTGCTCAAAGCCCCATCCAACCTGGCCTTGAACACTTCCAGGGATGGGGAGTCTAGGACCTCTCTGGGCAACCTGTTCCAGTGCCTCACCATCCTCACAGTAAAGAATTTCTTCCTAATATCTAAATACAAATAAATATCATGCAATACATTTCTCTGTTTGCAAACTGATCCTGACCTATGCTATTGTGTCCATATTGTGCATAGTAACCAGACATTTTGAACTGTGAATTTCCAGCAGATATAAATTGTCTGTATACAGTCTAACTTGGGGATTTGCTGGTTTTGTGTTTCAGATTACCGAAACTGTATTGTGATGTTACTCTGTATTGTGCTGTTTCCTTTGTCTAAAAGGAATGTTCAAATATTTGAAACAAAATATGTTGTTAGTTAATAATGCACACTTGGCTGCAGGTGAAAATAAAGAGATTTTTGTAAGCAGGGGAGAGGTTAGAAGAAGAACAGTTGCATGTTTCCCTTGCTGTGGTTGATCGTGTTGCTAGAAGGGCATGTTGTTCCTTTCAGGTCTAGAGAATGGTTTGCTAGAAGCTCATTAAATAAATTAAAATAAGAGTTGCAGATTCAGGAGCATTTCTATGCTTACATGTGCTAACATGTGTCCTCCGATGGCTGGGATGCAATGAGCTTTGCCGTTCTGACAGTAAAGAATGTGTAACAAAGGATGCACTGTGCAGTCTCTTTCTGTTGCATGTTGACAAATTTCCCCAAAGAAAGTAGAAACATTGAGTCAAAGATAAGGGAGTCAGTCCCCAGCAGCGGCAGGGGATGTAATTGAAGTGACAGAGGCATGTCAGAGTGTGGGTGCAGGTGAGCAGAGGGTGATAATGAAGTGCTAGTGAAGAAAGTGAAGGATAGCAAGGAACAGAAATTGATGTTTAGTGACTGCAAATGGTGTTCATCCAGTCTGTTCATTGGTTTAAGGGGGGGGAAATGACAACAAAAAATAAGAATAAATGCAAAGAATCCTTCTTTCTTTTTTTTCCCTTCTTCCCCCCTTTTTCCCCCCACTTCCCTGTCCCTTAGATACTCTGGAGCAACATGTGGTCTGGCCTTTGTATTCGTGTATCCATCCCTCATCTACGTGATCTCTCTGCACCGTGCTGGGCAGCTGACGTGGCCAGCATTGATCGCTCACATCTTTATAATCCTCCTTGGACTGGCTAATCTGATTGCACAATTCCTATTGTGAAAACTCCCCCTTCTCCCTGTGGCTGTCACAAGTGGTACTGTGATATTTGGCAACCTTGAGCAACACTGTCAGGCATGAGAACAGTGCTCAATGTGATGATCTTGAGAAAAGCAGCACCTTTGAAACAAATTCAAAACACATCTTTCAAGCGCTTGACAGGAAAACCGTCTTGCTCCTCTGAAAACACAGTTTTATGAGAAGTGAAGTGGTTCAGATATTCAAAAATTAATGAAGCTCAAATGTTTTAATTTTTTACAGCACACTTCTCAAAACACAAAGCTTTCAGCCTCAGGCTGTGGAACTCTTTCCAAGGGGACTATCGTTACCTTGATTAACAAGCATGCTTTCTCAGTATTGTTCAGTGACTCTTTGAAATGCTCTTTTGTTGAAGTTATTTTCCTGGTTTGTTTGGAAAATGAAGAAATTATTGTATTTTCTTTTTTTTTTTTGTTAATTTATAGTCATGTGGGTCAAAATGCACTCTTAATTTTGAATACGCTATTAAATTGTTTTGGCAATATTTTTCCTCTAGGAAATTCCAACAAAGCGAAACAATAAACTCATGTCTCAGAGTTTTATTCAGAATCAGTATGTACACAAGTTATTTGTGATCTCATAATGAAAAAAAGCCAGAAGGATAAAAAAAATTAGAACAAGACAATTTAAATTAGTATTCCAGGCTTGACCTCACTTCAACTCTGTTAACTGGGCTATTATGTGCTGTGAAGTTGCCTTGTCAGGAGTTGCATGTGGTTTTATGTATGCATGTTGTACAAAGTGTTCATCACAGGCTTGTTCCCTCCCTTGTAGGGTATTACTCCAGTGGTCTCTCACTATGCTTTTCCACTGCATTACTCTAGACTTTTGGATGTGAGCAGAGAGACAAAGCCAGCAGTCTTCAGATGAAGTAAAAGAATTTACGTTTTAAATAATTCCAAAAGCATCTAGAAGAATGTGGAAAGGTTTTGTTGTGGGCTTGAGTCTTTCTTAACTTCTTGTCAATGAACTAAGATTGTGTACATGCATAATTGCACAGGCACGTTCTCTCACCTACCATCTGGGAGTCTGTGTCTTAACCCAAAACATGCAATAATAAGTTGCTAGACAGTAGTGGAATGTCATTTTTGTGGTTGGAGAGAAAGTAAAAACTCCTCTTTGTACAGAATTTCAGTGCATTGAAATAACCAACAAATATAAAATAATTGAAAGAGGACTCCAAGCATTGCTAAATTCCAAAGTCAGTAAAAAGAAGAAAAAAGTTGGAGTGATGCAATGTTTGTGAAGTAGGAGTTGGGAAAGATAATTACATTGCAGGGTGAAAGTTCATATTTTCATCAGAAAGACAATGAAAAACATAAGCTAGATTATTACTATGCTTCTCTGGGAAATGATGTGAATTTTTTTAGTAATGATGTAAATCCATTTGTTTGACTTAGGCTCCTTAAACTGTGTAAAGGACAGTCATTAATATCCCTTGATTTGTATGGAATAAAAGATTATACAGATTTGGAATACTATCTGCAGAATACAGTAATTATTTTAGATTGTTTTTTTCTTGTGAAACTTTTTGTGCCTTTAAATCAAAATCGGAGAATACATTCGTTATTTGCTCTGTATTAGGGAGAAGTATTTGCCCCATCTTGGTCATTTTACCCTCTGTATACTCTTACAAGATGAACAGCAAAAGGAAAGGACAAAAGATACAGGATTCCAGGCATTGTTGTTTTATTCACATTAAGCTCTGATTTATTATAGATTCAGTGCTTAATACAGGTACAAACCCCTATGAGTGCAGGTAATTCAATTTGATTATGTCCTTCCATGTTCCATCTGGACATGATTCCATGACTTATATCCTTGCCATTGAAGCTGACAGCAAAATGCCCATTGATTTTAGCAGAATTAAATTGTTAGGATCTAGTAGTCAACAGTCCTAAGTAAGGTGGAGTTCATGGTGAAGAGTCCTAATTGCATCTTGTATCTGTCTCTTTTTCCAGTTGTGCAATGTGCAATGATTGAGTTAATATTTAGAAAGAAATTATTCAATACCTTTCTAAAAGCCTATTTTAGCTCTGTGTTACAGACAGGTTCTTCCTGCACTGTTTATTTATACAAGCATTTAAAAGCCTTGATTTGAATTATAAGCTGGTAGGCATTAGAGTGATAGCAAATATTTCATTCCAGTGTCATCTCCAGAAGTACACTTTCTTATGAGAAAGTATTTTTTTTATTTCACTACATGCAGTTGAGATTTTCACTAGCTTCAGAAGCAAGTTAGGAGTGTGCAAGTAGATTGGCATTTTGGGGGGTTTTCTTCTATGTCAGCATCCTAAGTTAAGTAATATTTTACAATTTAACGGCAACTTAAATGGCCTAAAAGAACAGAAGTAGATTGCAGTGTCTTTTTTCATGCGAGCACAAAAGGTGGTTCTTTGCAAATGCACACTTTATCTGCAGTGTTGTTCAGCTAATTTCAGTTCCTTAGGTTCTCTGTTGCAGCACATCATCATGTGATTTAACAGAGCAAAAAAAGTAATATATGGACCCCATGGTGTATTGTGAAATGTTATTAATTTCCTTCTCACAAAAGACAAATAATTTCTGCTGGAAATACCGAATTCTGTCTTTACATTTGAGCTTTGCTGAAGTAGTCTGTCAGGTGAAATGTCAGCTCTGGGCATTGAGTAAGAATCTAAGGTTTTCTTCATAACAGTACCAGGCTCTTTGTTTGGCATCAACCCTACCTCATTGCACTCTGACAGTCCAGCCCTCCTTATTATGTGATAACTCAGTGATGCAAATTGAAATTTTTGTTGCTTGAGGTTCAAGCAACTGCAATCAATCATCTGTGCTGATACCATTGAGCTAAAATCCAGATCTCAAGATACATAAGGCATTAACCCAGTATGACCTTCAGACATTGCCAAAGCATAAGTAGCCAGGGGAATTCCCAGGAAGCTCCAAGAGCAGTTGTGGACATGCCTGTGTGGTGAAGTTGTGGATGTGTGATTACACACAGCCTGAGCACTGATACCAAGGGATTAGTTTTTCAGTGGAAGCTTTTTGATGAACAGAAGGAGTTGTATTTTCTAATGACAAGGGCAAATGATGTGGCTTTTAGGACTGTCTTCTGCAATGACAAGAGAAATAATTACCTTCTCTATATCCATGCTTGCACTAACCTCATTGCCTTCTCTGTAATGGCCTAGTGTCATCTGTTCCAGTTTCTTAATGTTATCATGGCCCAGATTCTTCCCTTCATCTTATAATGGTATTCAGAATCTCTACTATGCTTACTGGCTCCCAGTTTTCCTTTGCTCTTCCAGTCTCTCACAGCTACATCTATTCCTACAAATAACTTTTCGTATTCTGTCTGGATTGTTAATTTAATGTATTAAAATGTGTAGCTCAAATAACCTGTGCAGCAAAAGCACAGAGATTCAAATGTTGCATCATACAAACAGAGGGGCTCAGGAAAGACGTTTTATGTAACATCGCCTATTTTCTTAGAGGTCCAGTCTTTTGAACTCCACACACAAAAATATGTGAAGATAATGGCATTTGGTTGCAGAACATTTTATTGGGTTGATGGTTTGCCTGCCTGACCTCTAGACTGCTCCCTTCTCCACCAGGCTTTCACACAAGGGTTGGCTTTTGTTTACATGATCACGTAACCTTTTTTTCCATGGGGAGTCAGCTTGAGAGGACGAAGGTTGCAAGAGCGTTTGGTTCCCTGTCATTGCTCAAACTTGGCATCTGCTAACTTTGGGTGCTGGACTTTGGGTGAGTGTTAATTTAAATGCAAGGACATGCAGTCCAGTCCTAAGGTTGCTTAAGCTCCTTTGTAGGCCATGTCCATGGATGTCCCTCCAGCGTGGCGTAAAAGCAGAAAGCTGAGAGGCAGCAGCAGTATAAATGAGTGCTGGAGCTGTGGTGGGAAGGAGAAGAGAATTTCTGGGCACTGAGACGGTTGAATCTAGGATGTACAGTCTGCGTTTTGGGAAGTCGTAGAGACTCCTACGTACGTACAGCTAGACTGATGCTGCAGTGGCCAGGCTATGCAATGAAATGGTAGTGAGGGAGGTGAAAGAGATGGTAGTCTCTGGAAAGTGTGTTTTTTGCCTTTCAGGATGTTTTGCTTCAGAGGACAACTGCACTAAACATCTGTCACCTTTATAAAGGATATGAAGGTACCTGAGGAAAAATTAATAACAGGAAAAGTTTTAGTGCTTGGTGATAACTAGTACCAGGAAAACACTGTCCCTCTCTTCTTCAGCTGGAAGCAGAAATTCATTTCCGCGAGCAGTTCACAGAATCTGGGAGCTATCTTCAGTAATGAAAATGCTATTTTAGTAGAGCTTTCAGTAACTTCTTAATAGGAAGTAAAATATTCACGATATGTTTGGTTTAGCTCATTGTACCGTGCTTAATGGGGGAGTACAGTGTAAGCTTTTCCCTCTGAGTTGGTATTCTGCAAGATTGGAGTATTTAATCAGTGTATTTAATTTCTTCTGCAGTTGAGAACACCATTAAACTTCTCTTGAAAAGGAACAGGACTCAACTTGCCAGATCATCATTACCTCTCCCTCCTGTAATTTCAGATGGTGGAAATAGTGCTACATAACTGTTGCTCTGTGGTTTGTATTTCCAAACACCAGCTGATGTGAGAGGGGCAGGAAGGGTCTCTTTGGGTTTTTTTGGTTGTTTTTTTTTTTTAATTTACCTAATTACAGCTTTTCTTATACACCTCCTTTTTGTAATCCTGAAATAGATTAAACAGTCCAAATGAAAAAAGCAGCTTTTTTTGGTCTCATCTCAGTATGTTTATATTGCAGCTTGGCTAAAGCTCATTGAATTATATACAATAGCCCAAAGACTGTTTAAAAACTGCTGTCCATGTGTTTCTTTTCATCATTGTTTGAATGGTCTTTTTTTCAATTCCATGGAGCTTGTTAACTTCTGACATTTCATTAAACTGTTAGAGGAAGTTGAGATTAGTCAGGTCATTTCAAATCAACACAGCGAAATCATTCAGCTGCAATATGAGGGAAGGAGAAATGCCTACACATTGAGTTCCAGGCTAGATACTAAATGCCACACCAAACAGAGACATTGTCCCCACTGTCCAACTGGCTTCATCTCTTAGAGCAAAAGGAGATTGTATTATGAAATTACCACAGGACATTCAAATTACAGGCCGGTTATGGGAAGA